CTAATATATTTAGATTCTCCAAAAAGAAAACCAAGCTAAAATTAGAAACAGGCAAAGCCAGCCATCGCTTCTTGAAAATATTCAGAATCTAGAATTCTCTTTTCCAGGAAATTGTATAAAAATAAATTTTAACTGAGAAAATTAATATTGCATGTAGAAAAATGAAGATGCTTATTTACATGCATAAATGTTATACACAGTTTCAGAAGTGATCAAGAACATTTTCCCAAGGATCTTAAACGGATGAGGTTTTACCACCTTGAAAGGAGACGGGGATCAGTCACCACTTAATCTGTTGATTGCATATACCATAGGATGTATATGTGACTTAGAAGTCTTATAATAGAAAGCATAGGTGTTCAAGTCCCAAATGCTTCAACCTCAAATACAGAGCTTCCAGTGCTCCTACTGATATTCACAAGAAACCCTATACTGTCTTCTATAGGGAAAGGACTAGCATTACCCTTTTCCCTCAAAGCCAACCCAGATATCAAGAGTAGCACTTGAAAGCAGTAATATCAATGAGGAGGACAAAGAGTCTTTCAATCATCCTGGCAACTGATATTATGAGGGGCTCTTGATTCAGAGAGAAAAGTCCTATGACCAAGATTATCTCCAGACTCAAACCAAGTTTAGTTGGAAAACTATGACAAAGTGGTGGCCTCATAGCCATTCTTGGAGATTACTCTGGTTAAGACCCAGTTACTAAGATCCATAACCAAATTAGGGAGGGAGGAAGTGAGGAAGGAAGAAAAGAAGGAAGCTAGGAAGGAAATATGGGAGGAAGGGAGAGAACAAGGAAGGAAACGTAGTCATTAATGGGTCAAATTTGACATGAAGAGAGCTTTCTAACAGAGAGACTCAGGGATCTACCCTTGGCACTGTATTTACTGACATTTTTACTGGTGGTTTGGATTAAGCCATCAATGGCCAGCATAGAAAATTTGTAGAGACATAAAGCTGAGAGACAGGCTAACACAAAGAAAAACATCATCAGGCTCCAAAAATATCTCAACAGGTTAGAATAACAGGACAAATTTAGTGAAATAAGATGGGATAAAGATAAAGCTCTACACCTGGGTTCCTAAAATCAACTTACTAAGTAAACAATAGAAGAAGCAAATTAGACAACAGTTCGTGCAGAGGAAAAAAGGGTGTGCTATTGAATTGCCAACTCAATATGAGTCAGCTATAAAATAAAACAATATGTAAGCCCTAATGTTCTCCTCAAGTGCATTAAGAAAGTTGTAGCGTCGCTAGTGAGGGAAACAACAATCCAATTGTACTGTAATTTGGTCACATCACCTGTGTATTACTGGATTCCCCTCTGGGTGCTACATTTTAGAAAGTACATTGGTAAGCTAAAGAGAATTCAGAGGAAGCTAGCCAGGATAGTGAGGGGATTGGAGACTATACCATAACAGGATCAATTGAAAGAACTGGAACTATTCAGAGTAGATAAGTAGTGGGGGAGGGGAGGATTGGAGGAAGGGTAGGAAATGATAATTGTCTTCAAACATCTTAATACATGAATAGGATTGAATTTATTTTGATTTGGACTCAGAAGGTAAGACTAGATGTAAGGGTGGGGGGGAGGATAGGAAATTGCTCCAGGGCAGATTTTGGCTTAATTTAAGGAAAAACTTTCTAACAATCAAGCTGTTCACAAGTGGAACAGACTGCTTTGGGGGCATGCCTTGGGAGTAGTGGGTTTGCACTCCAGAAACTTCTCATCAGAGGCTAGATATTTGGGACATTGTAAATATGACTGGATTCAGGCATAGATTAGACTAGATAGTCTCTGAGATTCCTTCCAGTTCTGAAGTTCTGAGACCACTATGGGCTTAAGAAGAACCCCCAAGACCAGATGGTCTGATCCTTTATTCTTAGCATTAGGATAAACTGGGTACCTCTTAAATTGGAGATGTCAATTAGCTTTCTCATTAGCTTCCTAGCATAAAGTCTTAGAGATAAAAGAAGCCCTAGAGATGATCTAATTTGTGAGCTGTCAATTTTTAAAGAGAAAACTTTTTTGTAATATTCTTAGAATGAAACCTCTAATTGTCCCCAAGCAACTGCTTAAAATATGTGTTACAGGCAAATTAGTCATCTACATTGTGAGGGGAGATTCCACACTGGTAGTTCTCCATACCATTTAAATCGTAGGTCTAGAACCACCCCCCCCCAAAAAAAATTCTAAGAGTATGTAATTTTGAAAAGTCACATTATATTTTATAAAAATAGATTTCTTCAATTGATGTCAGAGATTTTACACCAACCTCATCTGTATTGCTTTATATATTTTATTCATTTATTTAATGAATACAAATCAGTACAATACAACCCAATAGAAAGACCAAATTATCATTATTTGTTATCTTCAGAAGGCCCTTGTTATAATGCACAAGTGTGACCTAGGCTAGGAGGGCCTTGAGGAGCTGCTAGTAATTAGCCTTCTCCTATAAGCACATTAGCCCAACGAATTTATCAGATGAGCTAATTGTTGCCTTGGAAGGCAGGGAAAACTTGCTCCTGTTGTATGAGAGAAGAGAGGAAGGTAAGAGGAGGGAAATGTGATAGCAACAAATTCTTGGTCGAAGGAGAATTGGCCAAATGTGGACAATGGCTAAAAAGAGAAGAGTAGATCCAAGAGGGACCCCTGTGCTTTAGCAGAGTTAAGAATTTTCAGCCTGAACATCATTGATATACTGAGTTAGGTATTCATTATCTATAGCACTTAACATACTTTAATGAGATGAGTCAATAGATTCCTTCTAGTTTGGCTAATAGAACTTGACCTATGTACTATGTACTAAGAACATGCAATTCATGATATACTACTTTCTGACCTAGTCCAAAACCTTCAACTGTCCCATATCCATTCTCTGGCTTACTAGTTTGTAATAATCTAGCAACATCAAATCAACTCTTTGGCTGGTTTTGAATTTCAAATAATTTTTACATGTATAATTTTATTATATTATCCTCATATTGAGGATCTCAGTCAGTTGTTCAAAGGCTCATTTGGAACCATGAATTCTGCCAGGCCAGGGTAAAAACAAATAGAGAAACACATATAGAGAGATAATGAAAAGGGCATCTGAATACATTAAAATTAGTGTAGGCAGGATCAGGAAGCACATATTTAACTCACTTTGGTTATTTTCATGACAAATATTTTTAGGCCTTTGTGCTATGGAAACTTTGGTTGGCTCAAGGATTTCCTGGACTAGTTGAGCAAAAAAAAAAAAAAAAGCCTATTTTTAAATGATATAACTGTTCAAAAGTTCTGAAAGTTTGTCATTCTACTTTATTTTCAATTATTATTTTATCCATGACTAAAAAGGGATATGACCAAAATCTTAGTTTTCTCCATTTAGACTAGGTTGACTTACCCTGCTTAAAAAAAAACTCAGAAATTTCTGACTACTACCACTGATTAACCTCCTCCCCCCAGGAATTAGCTTCATTATTCATTATAAATTACTGATATTAAATAATTATTGCTGACATTTATAATGCCCTACAGTTTACAAAGTATTTTACATGCATTATTTCAATTGATTCTCACAACACCCCTGTGAGCTAGGTAATACAAGTATAATTAACTTCATTTTACAGAGAAGGAAACTGGGTCTTAATGATCACGTCCAACCACCTTTTTTTTTTTTTTTGAAAGGAAGAAGAATCTGGGGGCCAGAGAGGTTAAGGAACTCACATAACGTCACACAGCTATAATTTGTCCTTTAGATTAACCTCATCTTCATTTTCAGTGCATGACAGTGGCATAGGGTTGATATTCTGAGCCTCCAAGCAAAAACATAGACAAGGGCCCTTACCCTTTGTTAACTGAAAAATACAAAAACACCAGCTGAAAGGGTGTCTCCTTCATGAAGTTCTTTGAAATATAGGGGCTACTTAGTATTTACACCTAAGGAGAAATAAGAAGAAAACAGCTGGCCTGGGGTACCTCATACCTCTAACTCCAGCTTTTTCTCTATGACACAGTCTTCAAATAGACTAGAGCCACATGATTAATTAATTCTTAACAAGCTAAGAGTAATTCTATGGGCCTCAGTTTCTGTAGGAATTACCTGCTTAGCTTATTAAGAATTAATTAGTCATGTGGCTAATTCCTATAAATTTGGAAGGTTTGGTGAAAGTCAATACAAGAATCATAGGACCACAAAATTTTGGAAGGTACTTAGAGATTATCCAACTCCTTTGTTTCACAGATACAGAAACTGATCTCTTCCCTCAGTAGGGAAATTGAAATGTGAACCCAAATCTTCTGACTCCTGATCCAATCCTCTTCCTACCATACCATGTTATGCATAAATATCTTGAAGAACTTCAATAGTCCCTGATAATATTTCGCAAATAGCTTTATTAAGTGACATATGAAGGCTACTTTCCACTATACCCTGAAATTGCCTGTGTTTTTAGACAGGTCAGATGTGTCAGATCAAAAAGAAGGGGGTGATGGAAAGGGAAGTTGATATGATCAGACTATTGAGAAATGCAAAGGTGTCATGCAGGGAAATACCTGTACTGTCAAGTTGATTTCCTCTAAAGCTCATGTCTAAATAAAGGGCTTACCTGACCAGACAACAATCCACCTACCCTCTGTTGCATTTTTCAGCATAATCCTCAATGTGTTTCACTAGGGTTCCATTATAACAGCGAGGTAGACCAGAGTTCAAGTCAGACTTCCTCAGAATTGGTGACTCAAATAGCATAAATGTTGGGAAAACATTACTACGACCCAAAAAGCAATCTAGGAACTGGAAAGGGTAACTCACTTTCCAGACTTGCCCAAGGTCACTTGTGTCATAGGGGCTTCCATGTTACAGTCCAAAAATCACAGAAACTACCTTTGACCTGGTTACTTCTCTTAGAGAACTAAATAGATATAATTAATTTACGTTTTTTTTGTTTGGAAAAGAAAAAAATTAGTATTGGCATCTAAGTAGTACAGTTCGAGATGATATTTATAGTACCTTCAGTGCCAGGTATGATGTTGTCAAACTGGTCAGACACAGCAAGGTATTGTCTAATGAGCTTACACAGTTTCTGGTATGCAAGATTTATATCATCTACCAGTAAGAGAGAAAATATATTTTAAGGCACAAAGCACATAAAAACAGCAAATTCTCAATTGTTAATGGTAATAGATAAATAATATGAATATATTTCACAAATTTTAATCAAATCTCCCATCAAGTCTTCACCTGGGCTATTACTAAGTAATGATTAATAATAGTTAATAGTCTACTTTTTGTCCGGAAAAGGTACATCTATTATCTGAAGACCAGTCTAGCTAAATTCCTAAAGACCCATCACCAGGTTGGCAATGGGGTGATGAATTTGGGGGCCATGGTATAGCACACTTCTACACAGTTGATTTCTACTTTGATATACCAACAACATCTCTCAAGTTTGTCCCCTTCTCTCTCTTCATGTGGTCACCACTCAAGTTCAAGCCATCACTTTTTTTTCTTCATCACTTTTCACTTAAATTATTAAGATAGAATCCAAATTTTTCTGCCTGCCTCAAGTCCAGTCCATCCTCCTATATCCTATCATTTACTTGGCTGACAAAGCAATTTTCTTAAAGTACAGGTATGACCATGTCTCTTTTTTGCTCAATAAACTCCAGTGGCTCCTTATTACCTCTAAGGTCAAGTAAAATCTCTTATGTTTGTCATTTAAAACCCTTCACAACCTGACTCCATCCTACCTTATTATAAATTACTACCAAAGATCAAGGTACACATGGACTTGTTTGTGGGATTTGGCAAGGTCTTCAAAGACTTGCTTTCTATGTCATCCCTTGCAACAAATGTTGGTGGGAGAGATGCAATTATTCTCAGGGTTGTTCTTTTGCTTTATGTGAGTCATGAACACTATAGGATGACCAAGAGTCCTATGAAATGGTGATTCTTAATGCTATTGAGTGTGTGATGAAACCAAATGAAACCCTAAATGCAAATTTAAATGCAAAATGCCTTTATTTGCCTCTGTAAGAAAAACTGTAAGTTGTCCTTTCAATTAGCTAGAATTATTTTATGTCTTCTGGTCTCATTTATGATAAAAAAATATCATCATGGCTATGGTTCAGATTCTACAGTGATGTGTCATTTCATTTTTCATTGCACAAAGAGTTCAAATTTAGATTACTAAGAGTTAAATTAAAATCTGAAGCTATCTAAAACCTGTGGGATCCTTAGTACCATCTGCCCCCCTTTCTTACTACTACATAGTACTCATTATAGAAGCAAAAAGGCTGAGCATCATTTCATATGTTCTATCTGTTTCATGGATATGGCCCCCAAAATTCATCACTTTGTGGTCACCTTATTGGTAACATGTTTCTCCATATTTAGCTAGGATATTTCATAGATAGCTGTCCTGTTCTTAGAACTGCATTTGAAGCTTTTTCTTGTTTGCTAGAAACAGCCAGAGATTACACTCTTTTGAGAACAACCTTTGAGAACCCAGGGTCAAGTCCATGCCAAAATGAGGCAGCAGAACAAGACTTTTCTGGAGGTTTCACATTTTCACGTATATTATCCGAATTTGTTGATTTCAAAACATCTCAATGGTTGTAGGAAGGGATTAGTGTCGCCACTCTAATTTTACAGTCTAGGATTTTAAGGCTTAAGGACATATGGAATACACAATAAGTGAAGAGAACAGAATCTTCATCTCTAACCATATTAACTAATAATAAAGATTTGGAATGTACAATTACTAGTCACTATGTGTTAATAGGGCTAGACTGCAATACTATTATTCAATGTTACAAGGAATATTTATGGCTTTGCCTAAGAATTTGCCTGACATAGAACTTCTAAGTCAGTTTCTTTTCAATTCCAAAATAAAAGTTACCACTTATTTTCACGAAACTTACTTACCTGTATTGATCAATGCATCAAAGTAACCTGGATTTTCTTGATTTATTCTAACATAATAATCAACTCTCGAGACAGAAAATTCAATCTCTGAACGACTGAAGAGCCCCATTCTCCGCAAATTCCCTTCATATTTTTCTTTGTTCATTGGCACTAGCAGGATATATCGAGGCTCAAAGTAGGAATGTTTCAAACTTCTCACGCCCTTTGAGATGAAAGAGAAAATGAATGAAATTGAAGACAATGATAGATAATTCACCTGATCGGATAACTAAGTGAAATGTCTTCAGAGAGTATGTTAAAATAGTTTTTATTTTATTTTATTTTATTTTATCATCATGAAATGAACTGTCCCTCATGGAACATATCAAACTATGGTGAACCTGAGTGCATTCCACACAAACATCCAGTTAAATCACTGTCAGGATGAATGAATTTACTCTCCAAAACTTGCATTGGGAATGTACAGAACTCTATCAATACATGCCAATGACATTATAATGGAGATAAACAACAACAGTCTTGCGGCATTCTAGACTCTTGTTCGAATGGCATTTTGAGAGGAGTGATGGTACTTGTGAATGTCAGGGAGTGGGGGGAGGAACATGCCTTGATGAATATGCAGTCCTTTATTTCTGGTAGTAGTGTTGGAAAGGGAGAGATCTATTTTTACCGCACATTATGAGCTTATTCCCATAGCTACTAGCCAATGATGTGGCCCAATAAAATATCAAGATTAATCTAGGTTTCCTACATGTCATTTTTAATCCTGGGGAGGATTAAGGGGATGGTAAAGGGTGGCAGAAGCAACAAATATCAAGGGGGTGGGAAGGCAAATTAAGGGAAAAGGGAGACTTGTACTGCCAGAATCAATTTATACGCTACAGCATTATCAAAACTGGTAAGATATAAAAAATTAGGGAAAAGTTTCAGTAGAACAGGTTAGATAATCAAGATATATAACCAAACACATAATAGAACAGTATTTGATAAACTCAACATAAAATGTCATAACTGAGGAAGAAATTAATCAACAAAAACTGTTGGGGAAATTGGCTAATATTTTGACAAAACATAGGAGATGACCACCATTTCATATCATTCTTACTTTAAAACATAAAAGATCCATGACTTTATCAGTCTGGGCATTTCTTCAATCAGAGGTTATTAAAATGGTTTTTAGTACTGATGTGGCATTTATCACCCTGGCAATTATGATTATAAGCATCTCTAAGATGAGGTAGGTTGGTCCTTACACCCCAAACCCAGACTATTACTGCTCCCATAATCAAAATGTTTCTAGCTTGGTAGGACAGGCAGTGCCTGAGCTCTGCTGGCAAAACTTTTGATAACCCAAGATCACTACCACACAACGATGAGGCAGTAAAGTGGGACTTTCATAGTCATATCAATGACTATCAAAGCTCAATAAGTTCAAAATGGATTTTACACACACACATAACTTTGTAAAAGTTAGAGAATTAATGGAAGGTCATTGATTTCTCAACTGTAGTTTGGTGAAAAATTCTTAACCATCCATGACTTGTTAGAAAAGATGAGGGTCCAAATTGGTGAATTTGACTATACATACATACATACGTATGTACGTGTGTGTGTGTGTGTGTGTATCTTTTGTGACAAAAAACATTTGGAATAAAAAAGAAGCAAATTAGGAGAAAAAAACTCCTTGTAAAAAGCATATCTGAAAAAGTCTAATATCCAAGATCTACACTGAAATGACAAATTCAGAGCCATTCTCATGGAATTACTATGATTGAGTTCAGAGGAAAAAGATATGTCTATACAAAAATACTCCTAGGAGCATTATTTGTAATAAGAAAAAAATTTAAAAACAAGTTCTGTGTACAAGAATTGGGAAATGACTGAACAAATCATAATATATGAATGTATTTGAATATTATTACATCATTAAAATGATTATGAAGACTATTAAAAAAATTGGGCACTGGACATGAAGTCAGGAAGATCTGGGTTCAAATTCTATGCCAGGTAATAGGTATTTGAGCCTGAGCAAGTCACTTCTCTGGGCTGCCTCAGTTTCCTTAGCTGTAAAATGAGGGGGTTGTACTCAAAGGCTATTAAGCTCATTTCCAACTCTATAGTTCCTATAATCTCATGAAGTGATGCAGAGTAAAGAAAGCATAACCAAAAGAAAAAGAAATACACTGACTATAATTGCGTAAATAAAGTTGGCAATAACCAAAACAAAATTCAGATAGAAGTATGGGAAAGAATTTCAGAAGGGATCATGAAAACAAATGGGGTGATCAAATCACCTCTCAGTTAAAGTTAGTCTATGTATTTTTTTTAAAATTTTTTAGGCAATTGGGGTTAAGTCACTTGCCCAGGGTCACACAGCTAGTAAGTGTCAACTGTTTGGTCTGAGGCCAGATTTGAATTCAGGTCCTCCAGACTCCAGAGCCAGTGCTCTATCCACTGCGCCATCTAGCTGCCCCATCTGTGTACTTTTTTGGTGTTTGTTTTAAACAATTTGTAAATAACAGAAGGTTATGGTTACATGTGTTATCACTTTAATTTGTCATATTGTGTTTTTTTCTTTTTTCTTCTTGTTTATATATTTTAATATTTGTACTTGTCAATAGAAGTCATAATATGTTAGATTAAAAGAATAGCTCAGTCTGTTAAATTTAACGTTATTTTTACTGATTTGATCAAAACTATTCAGTGAGTTTCATTATTCCTAAAACACACATATTGTATGATTCAAATTGACTAAACCATTTTTAGTGCTTCTGTAGTATGGCCAAAAATCCCTATTTTTTAATAGCTAACAAGCTATTCTACACCACTGTTCAATTTTAAAAATTCATTTGACTCGTACAACTATGGATTTTTATTCATATGGTCTACTATTTACATAACTGGACTGCCTCTAGTCTAGATAAATTCAAAGTCCCTTCTAGTAATAAAATTCTCTACTGAGTTCAAAACCATGCTCAAAAATTATATGCAATGCTGAGATAAAAATTTAAAAGATAAAATGCTTAAAAACAACAATAACAAAATCCAACTTCTTAAAGATTTATACCAGAAGCAGTTTATAAAATAGTCTGCTACTAAAGAAAAATCTTTGTATGCAGAATCAAGTCACAGACAAACAGGCAAAACTTAACCTTTCCTATGTTGATGGATTCCAATAAAACATGAAATTAGACAAAATAGGGAACAGTTAATTCTGTTGACAATGGAAGCCACTGGTGCTCAGGTATTAGCTCGGACTGTGGTTCGACAAATGGATCAAAAGTTCATAAGCCAAATGACATTGCAGTCAGGTGTCTGAATGGTAAGATAGGGTTTGGTTCTACTAAGAATATTACTGTGAAATTACATTGGTCAGGAAAATGTGATATGAGGTGTGCCTTCATTTGATGTGAGAGTGCAGGAATGAGCTCTCCCCAAACAAAATGAAACCAACAAAATATGTAGCAGACATAAAGAAAAGGAAGGAAGCTGTCAGGGAAATATTCAAATTGGGGAAAGACAACTGTGGTATTATTGAATTGTTGTTGCCTTGTTATCCCAATAGAATATACACTCCTTGAGAGCAGAGATTATATTTTATGCTTTCTTGTAGCTTTCATGACTGCCTGATTAGAGGGCTAGCTCAATAAATATTTGTTGCTTGATTGAATGAAGAAAAAAAAAACAACAAAGGAAGAAAAGCACTTACCTCAATTTCCAAATGAACACAGCTTGCCAGACCATCTCTTGCAATGCCTTCTATAGTATCCCTACTTAGTCCATAATTATTCTTGTTATATTGATATGTCAAAATAAATTTTCCCTGAAACCCAAAAAATAAATCATTTAGGGGGTGGAAATTTCTTCTATGAAGAATTCTAATATAAGCACAATGCCCTGGTACCTCTAAATTCCGATATCAGACCCCATAAGCATTTCAGAAATTAACAATTCTGCTGTACTAGTGAGAAGGTCTTTTAAAAATCCATATCATTGAATCATAGTAATCTTAGATGTCATTTATTCCAACTCACATTTTAAGCATGAATCCATTCTCCAACATTTTCAAGAAGTGTTAATAAGGTTTTTTTAAAAAAATATATCAAGCTAGAATATGCTTCTCTGCAACTTCATCCACTGGTCCCATTTTTGGTCTTGGGGTCAAGCAAAACATGTCTAAATCACTTTTCATAGATAAGTCCTTCAAATACTTAAGTATAGAACTGATGGAGTCTGAACTTATATCAAAGCATATTTATTTTCAGTTTCTTTATCTTTTTCATGGTTTTTTTCCTTTTGGTCTGTTTCTTCTTTCACAACATGACTAATATGGAAATATGTTTTACATGACTGCACAGGGAGAGGGGAGGAGGAGGGAGAAAAGGAGAAAATTTGGAACTCAAAATTTTTTAAATGAATGTTAAAGGTTGCCTTTACATGTAATTGAAAAAAAATAAAATACTATTATTAAAAAAGAAAAAAATAAAGTATTTTCATTTCATTTGTAAAAAAAACAAAAAACCAAATACTTAAGGATAGCATTTATATTCTTCTTGTCTTTCCCTTTTCAGGTAAATATTCTTAGTTTTTTTTCCAACTAATCCTCCTCTGGCCCAGCTTGAAGAACCTTGACTGTTTTGGTTACTTTTCTGTGAATTCACTAGAATGCTTCCTGATACGGTGCCCAGAACTGACAACAACGTTCAGATGAATTCCAACTAGGACAAAGGACACTCAAATATTCAAAGACATCTGTGATATCAACCATATGAATGTTTCCTCCAGAGATGCAAGCTGCAATTCACCCATGGCAACCCACCCTATTTAGCTCGTCTGTGTCCTCTCAGAGCTCACCATAGCGAGTTCACCAAAAGCGCTACTGACCTTTCTCACTTTCTTCAGACATTGTGAGAATACCAAGAGAGCACCCAAGCCCATCCCCTCTTTCCAATCACATATTACTCTGATGATATTCTTTTATATCAGACGATCATACAGAAGAACATCTGGATACTGTAGTGTAGTTTAGTCAAAATGTGTTAATGAGGATTATGAAATTATGTTGGTCAGGGCAACAATATAGAGAGTTTGCCTTTACCTGATGGAAGGAAGTAGAAGTGAAGAGCTCTCTAAAGCAAAATTGAGCTAATTAGCTTTTTTTAGCGACCATGTTACACACTAAAATCACCAAATGTTTTTCATGTGCATTGCTGTCTAGCCACATCTCCTTTATGGCATGCCTACGTAACTGAGTTTTTGAATGTTAAATGTGAGTCTGCATGAATACCTAGATGAATCTGATATTGCCTTGACGTGAGTGCTCGGCCCACCAGCGCTGATTACCTCCACATCTTGTCTCATTCTTGTCTGTGACTTTCAAGAAATCTACAGAAGATTCACCTGCTGACCTGGAGATCATTGTCTGCTTCTTTTCATACCTTTACACAGAATAAAAGGTAGCAGGATAGCACTCAGGCTCCCTCTACATTATCTCTCACTCTTACTGTATGATTGGCCTGCTTCTTATTCTGGTCCCTGATGATATCTTTTATGCCACTTCTTACCCAAGAATTATTGTTTGTTAATACCTTACAGCCCATTTATATTTACAATGTATCTCATTGCCCTTTGTATCGCTTGCAATTTTGATTCCTCCAAGGGCATATTGTTTCATCATTCACAACATCACTGGAAGAATGTGGCTGTTCAAGTACAGCAGCAAGCAGTTTAAAATAATTGAAAGCACTGTACAATTTCCTTAATGTAATCTAATCTTATACCATCATTACCACTCATTAGTTCTATGTCCTGATTACTGTTTATTTTTGGCACTTGTCTAGGATATACATATATATGTGTGTGTATTTGAACATACTACATGTATATATGCACATACAACATACATATATGTCTATATATATCTATATATTTTTCTATCAAGCTTACAACTGCACTGAGATGCTTGGGATGTCCTATATATACATACATAAATATATATATACACACATGTATTTATGTATGTGTATGTGTACATGTATATGCTGTGTATGTATATACAGGGAGCATTTTTATGGGGGTATGTGTATGTGTATATGTATGTATATGTATATGTTATATATGTATATACAGGGGGCATTTTTATGGGGGCAGCTAGGTGGGGCAGTGGATAGAGCTCCAAGTCTGGAGTCAAGAAGGCCTTTGTTCAGATCCAGCCTCAGATACTTCCTAGCTATGTGATCCTGGGCAAGTCATCTAACCTCATTTTTGCCTCAGTTTCCTCATCTGTAAAATGAGCTGGAGAAGAAAATGGCAAACCACTGCAGTATCTTTGCCAAGAAAACCCCAAATGGGGTCACGAAGAGTCAGACACGACTGAAACAACTGAACAACAAGAACACATATACACATAAGCATGTATTTACTAACTCATTGAGATACCTGTTGATTTGTATACCAAAAGCTAGGTAATATGATTTTTAATCCACTTTGTTTTTTACAGTGTGAGTGGTTAAAATGACCTTTTCTGAGTTATTAACTCAGTTATTAACTGAAGAAAATCTGTAGAGTGCTCTGGGGAATCAATGTAATTATTACAATGGCATCTATGAAACTGAAGAACTTTATCAGAGACAGAATCCTTCTTCCTTTTGGAATCTGTGTGGGATGCCTCTATGAGACTGGCCATGAATTTGAGTGAGCACATGCTTCCCTATCTTCTTTTTTATATTTTTATTTATTTATTTATTTATTCATTTATTTATTTATTTTTAATGAGGCAATTGGGGTTAAGTGACTTGCTCAGAGTCACACAGCTAGGAAGTATTATGCGTCCGAGGCCAGATCTGAACTCAGGTCCTCCTGACGGACTCTAGGGCCGGTGCTCTCTCCACTGCGCCACCTAGCTGCCCTGTTTCCCTATCTTCTGCCTCACTTGAAGTCAACATTCAGTGGCTCATTAGATAAAATCATCTCAATAGTAGCTGTTGTCTTTGCAGCTTCAAAGCTGTAAGGAATATGGTCATGTTTCCCATGGCCACACACTCCAGTTGTGACTCAGGAATACTGTTTGGTAGAAAACACGTAAGCCATAAAGAAAAATAGTGCAGTCAAGGTGGGGAACAGATCCCTCTGGTCTCAGAGTCACTTTCCCAGAGCCACACGATTCCTTTATTCTAGCTCGAGGGACAATTTCAAGAGTGTACAATTACTTTGGAGGAGTATGAAAGCAAACAGAGCATTTGTAGCAACTATAGATTTGTGTAATCTATAATTAGATATATTTATATGATAAATACATTTGCAGTAATCTATATTTGCTGTAAATACATATTTGCAACAAATATAGACTGAGTCATAGTAATTAATTGTATGAATAGTTTTGAGGGGCAGCTAGGTGGCGCGGTAGAAAGAGTACCAGCCCTGGAGTCAGGAGGACCTGAGTTAAAATTTGGCCTCAGACATGTGATATTTACTAGCTGTGTGACCCTGGGCAAGTCACTTAACCCCAATTGCCTCGGGGGGGGGGAGAATAGTTTTGATAATGCAGCATTGCATGAATATGTAATAATAAAGTTGTAGGTTACCCCCTCCCAAAAAAAGAGTATAGTCTCTGGGTACTCATTCTGCATATGGATACAAAGTCATACTCTTAGAGATAAGTGTATTGTGTGTAATTAGTAATGGTTAGAATGATAGAATTGCCAAAATAGACATGAAATCTCATGTGAGCAAGATTATATTGAGTCTACCGGAGGCAATTTTATGAGGGAGGGCTTTCACCTGGTTGGGAATTTAGGTCACACAACAAATGAAAGCTACTTTAAATGCGGCTATCTAAAGGCTTCTCTCCCCATAGGTAAACTCCACAACAGTTAAGTTCTCTGCATCTCTGGAAATATGAGGATATGAGAGTACAGATAAAGTAGACTGAGTTTTACCTTTAGATTTTAAAGCTTTTAAGCTTGCATAGGTCTGTGAGATTTAGAATGGACTGTCAATACAGAATACAAAGACCTTGTTTCTTACCATATAACCAAAGCCTTGTGCATGGGTTAATCCATAAGCATTAAATTATGTCTGATAGAATTTATCTACACTGAAGGCATAAAGCCCAACTAGTATCAGGTATATAAGATGCAGAGAAACTATAGCAGTATTTTCTTAACATGTTAAGAGTCAATTTTCCTAAAACATGAGAAGCATTCAAATGATAATATATTCATCATTGAAAACAATAATGCAAACAAGATTACTTCACTCCTGAAATACTCAGAATTCTTACCAAGTATCCCATTTCATCAAAAACTTCAGGAGAAACAAAATGATAATCAACTCGATCCCCTTCCCCAAAGTAGGGAAGTCTTGTGGTGTGACAGGCACTGAAAGATATAAAATAAATAATCATACCAGTTTCCATTACATTTAAATGTGATAAAAAATGAATGGTTAAAGCAATTTTTTGGAGAAAAACCAAATTTGCATTTTAAAAAATGATTAAGATTTTAACTCTCTGTGATTCTATGTAAGCAGATTACTCTTATTATGGATTCAGGAAATTGTTGGTCTTTGTTATCATTGTGCCTCATGGGTCAATATTGCAGAACGATAAAAATCACAAGAGGTAGGGAGCCCTTTATCACGGAGGGATCTTAGGGGTTATTTTGTTGAACCTCCACCGTAAATATGAATCTTCTCTGTACATTCATGACACAGCCGGCCCTTTCTTGAAGACCCTGGAATCTTAGACAAGCTATACATGTTTCATCTTAGATAGAATAGAAGTAGCATGTACTTTATCTGCCTAAGAAGGTTGTGATGTTTATATTCTATCTTCTTCTCAGTCAGTTGACATTTTTTTGGATCCCAGTTTTTTAGGAGCATGCTTAGTTCTTAGGATTCTAAGGTTTTTGAGCTGGAAGGGTTCTAAGAGGCCATTCAGCCAAATCCCCTCATGTTAGATGAAGAAACAGCTCACACAGGAAGCAGCATCTCCCCTTCCCACAAAAACTTATTCTTGACCTTGCTACTCCTCTTTGGCTACCATGTTATGTCTTAGATTCATTTTAATGCATTTTAGTGCCAATTTTTTAAAAAGAGTGGTTTCCTTCACTGCTTCCATTTTCTCACTACTCACTTGTTCCTCAAAACCCTTCACAATCTGCCTTCCATGCCCAACTACTCCACCAAAGCCTTTCCTCCATGGTCCCAATGGCATCCTTGGCACAAAATACGAGGCTTTTCCTCCACTCATCCTCTTTTCATTTCTCCGCAGTATTTGGCACTGTTGATAACCTACCCCTGGCCCCCAACTCCTCTTTTTTCTTGATACTCTCTCCTCCTTTGGCATAATTGACATCATATCATTCTCACAATTCCCCTCCTACCTCTCTCACTCTTTTCTTTTCGGTCTCCACAGATGGTTCCTTATCCTTCTCCTGTTCCATAAATGACTCCTTGCTACCTGTTGTTAACAACACTAATAGTAGTTGAGTAGTGCCTTATGCTTTTCCAAAACATCTCAAATGCACTCTCTTGTTGAATCCTCTTTCCAAACTTCTCAAACAGACAAGACACATGGTATTCCTATTTTATCTAGGATGAAACTTAAATATAACTTTCCTCATAGCTAGCCAGTGTCAAACCCAGCCCCTAGAATGCAGGTGTCATAACTCAACTGATGGCCTTTTCCCTATACTATATTGCTTCTTTTGTTGCTGTGTGCTCTGGGGATCCCCAACTAATTCTGATAGCATACTATGCAAAAAAAAAATCAATTTAAAAGGTAAATCTTTTAGATGGAAAAACAACCTAAAAATATATTCCATACTATCATGCTATAAGAAATGATGAGCAGGTGGACTTCAGAGAAACCAGAAAAGACTTATGTGAACTGATGCTAAGTGAAGTAAGCAGAACCAAGAGAACATTGTACAAGTGACAGCCACGTTGTGTGATGACTAACTTTGATAGACTTATCTCTTCTTAGCATTGCAAGGATCTAAAAAAAAAACAAAACTCCAAAAGACTCATGATGGAAAATGTTGTCCACATACAGAAAAAGAACTATGGAGTCTGAATGCAGATTGAAGCATATTATTTGCTCTCTCTCTCTCTCACTCTCTCTCTCTCTGTCCTCCTTTGTTTCTTCTTTCTCATAGTTTCTCCCTTTGGTTCTAATTCTTCTTTACAACATGACTAATGTGAAAATAGGCTTAATATGAATGTATATGTTGAGCCTATATCAATTTACACGCCCATCTTGGGTGGGGGGAGGAAGAGATGGGGAGAAAATTTGGAACTCAAAATCTTATGGAAGTGAATGTTGAAAATTATACATAAGTAAATAAATGAACAAATTTATTTTTAAAAATTCCAAATCCAAATATTTTCCATTATTAACAATACTGTTCCCCTCCATTAGTACAGATAATCAAGAGACCATAAAAGTTATTTGTGAGGGACTGTCTGATGTTGGCAGCTGCCAGGTTGGGTACTGTGGCAAGGGTAGGGTAAGATCTGGGTATTTTGGAAATCGAGGCAGGGACTGTGGTAGGCAGAGTCGTGTGTACTGGGATGGGCTGGATACGGAGAAGCCATGAGGCAATTGGGCAGTGCTATGAGATAAGCTGGGTGCAAGGAAGTAGCCGAGCCTGAGCTCCTGAGGCAAGGGGTGGTGCCACGTGGGAGTGGGATGGCAGAGGACTGAGTTCCCTCTGCTTAGTCCCCTCCCTATATGCAACGTCATCCCCAGATGCCTCTTGTGACCTTCCTGACCTCCGGGTCCCTTTGTGCAGCACTGACCCAGTCCCCTCCTGAGTCTGACTTCCTAGGTCACGTACTCTTGTCTATGCGTCAATCCCAGATGCCTCCTTCCTGTATCCAATCCTGGCCTCCTACGTCACTCCCTCCCCCTTGGTGTGCTAAACTCAGACAGCCCCTTCTGGTATCTGACCCTACAATCATTGGCTAGTAGCGGGCTGGGGAGGAGGGGCTAAGTAGGTACTTAGGAACAAGCGTGGTCAGATCACACACGTGCGCTCTCCCCTGGCTCCTGCCCTGTTGCTCTGGCCTTGCTGCTTGGGCTTGCCATGATGGTTTGCTGTGTTGGCCTCTGAATAAAGCTCTGGTGTTGGTGCCTCCCGATGGCTTGTCTCTGTGTGGTGATCCGGCTGAGGACCGAAGACCCGGGAGTGGGTAAGACTCTGGCAGTGTACTTCTTTTAGGAGAAGTGGGTACTGGCGCACGACTGGCAGAAGGTCGGCGTGCGGCCCGTATAGTTATTTTTAATATTTAATATTTATTTTAATATCTATGTTACATTTGGATTATAAACCCACGACAGCAAGGAAACTCTAAATAGAGGTTGCCACAATACCTTAAAATTAGTTTTGCTATGTGAAGACACTAACAGACCTTGGTAAAAGGATCTCAGTCAATCAATTGATAAGAATTTACTAATCATCTATAGTGCTATGTGGCAGGCATTGTACTAGGTGCTAAACCTTTCCCAGATTAGTAGGGGCATCTGACTCAGTGGAGCAGGTACCACCTTCTTGATCCACTCTGCTGTGACCTTTCTACACCGCCAGAAGAACTGATTGGACAGGAAACTTTATAGAATTTCTTACAGAGAAACATAATTTGAATTAGCAGTAACTTGCACAGCTAAGAATGTACTTGGGAAATATTCATTGATTTTATTATGATTTATAGCTTCTACCCAGGCAAAGAAAACAATGGTCTCATTAGCACGGTGGTAGCCAACAGCACCTGCATTTACTGGAATGACACCTTATGAACTCTACTCTTGGTTCATGAAAAAGGACCCAATCCCACTGATAAATATCTGAAGCTATTGTCCAATTGTCACTTGTAGAAACATTATATAATAGGCTGTCCTACATAGGAAGGAAACAAGCATTTATTAAGCATCTACTGTGTGCCATGCACCATGCTAAGTACTTTACAACTATTATATCATTTGATCCTCACAACAACCCTGGGAATAAGTGACATTATTAATCACCCTTATTTTATAAATGAGGAAACTGAGACAGGCAGAGGTTAAGTGACTTGCCCAGGTCATACAGCTTTTAAGTTTCTGAGGCTGGATTTTAACTCATGTCTCCTTTACTCCAGGCCCAACTCTCTATCTATTGTACCACTTGGTCACTCCTGGGTAAACCTAAATATAAACACCCCAGAAAAGAAATGTATAATAGAGAAAACACCGAAATATTGCCAAAACTAATGACACCCGACATTTATATTATTTTTTTAAAAGGAGTTTTAATACGCATATTTTCCCTCTAGGGAGAAATATAACATACTATACACTGTTTTTCCCATGTTCCTTGATCACTGGTTAGTTAAATCACAGTAAAATCCTATAAAATGGGTCAAGTTCTATTAGTTTCATTTGGCAGATAGACAAAGACAAATGTTAGATTCTGGCTGCTACAACACTAGCATTATTCTAAGGTGAGAGTGAGCATTCTATCGTATCTGAAGGACGCTAACAAACTGAAGGCTAGGATTGAAGAGGATGGTGAGGTGCTTGGAAACCTGGGTGAGGTTACAGGAACTAAAGATGTTTAGGAGATTAATCAAATGATGTTTAGTTTTTACAAAGAACTGGCTATTTCCAGAACATTCCTTTGGTAGGGAAGACAGGTTTTTGTTCCTAGTCTTCACATTTGGGAAGTGATTACTTTAAATACTTCCAATGACTGCCACAAGAGAGTTGAAGTGGGGTATCAAATATTAAGAAATTTTGTACTCAAGGATAAAAATTCTCCAGTGCAGTGAAAACTATTGCACTAGAGAATTCTGTTGCTGCAGAACATCACCACAGACAAACCAATTAAGACAGCAGGCCATTAAATTTAATGCTGTCTATAGAGGTAAAAAGTTAAGCATTTTTTAAAATGGTAAATTCTATTAGAAGGTAATACAAAATTAAACTGAGATTTCATTTATGCTGAAAAGCAAATATGAATAGCTAGTATTCATATATCTCTTTAAGGTTTACAAAGTATTTTCATTTCATCCTTCTAACAACTCTATGAGTTTGGTGCTTTTATTAATCCCTGTTTCACAGGTAAAGAAACTTGAGGATGAATGAGGTTAAGTGACTTGCCTAGGTGACACAGCTAGTAAGTTTCTGAGACAGGATTTGAACTCAGGTTAACTTGACTCCAAAGCTACTTATACCACCTAGCTTGTTGTTGTTTTGTCATTTCAGTCGTATCTGATTCTTCCTGACCCCATTTGAGCTTTTCTTGGCAAAGTTACTGGAGTGGTTTGCCATTTCCTTTTCCAGTTCATTTTACAGATGAGGAAACTGAGGCAAACAGGGTTAAGTGACTTGCCCAGGGTCAGGAAGCTAGTAAGTGTGTAAGGTTAAATTTGAACTCAGGTCTTCCTGATTCTAGGACTGGCATTTTACCCACTGCACCACCCAGCTGCCTTTGTCACCAAACTGCCAGATGTTAATTAACAATTTACTCATCTGCTATAATAGGCAGGCAGGCAGTTAACAATCATTAATTAAACACTTGCTAAGTGCCAGGTACTATGCCAAACACCAGGATATAAAGAAAGGCAAAAATATGGTCCTTGCCCTCAAGGATTCAACATTCTAACGAGGGAGACAGAATATAAATTACTATATCACAAGATACACACAATGTAAATAAAATGTAATCTCAGAGGGAAGGCAATGGGGGGTTAAGGGGAAACTAGGAAAAGTCTCCTAAAGAGTATGGGATTTGAGTTGGATTTTCAAGGAAGCCAGGAGGCAGAGGTGATGAGGGAGAACCATTCTGGGTAAGAGTGAACACCTGTGAAAAAGCCTGGTGTTGGGGAATTAAAGTGCCATGTGTGAAGAACAGTAAGGATGACGCTGATGGATTGTAGTTACACAAAGAGGAATAGAATGTAAGAAGACTGGAAAGGAAGGAAGGAGCCAGGTTGTGAAGGACTTTAACATCTAAGAGTTTATAGGGAGTCATTGAAGTTTAGTGAGTTGGGGCAAGGGGAGGGAGGGATGTGGTCAGATCTGTGCTTTAGCAAAATCACTTTGACAGCTGAGTGAGGGATGGATGGGGAATGAGAAGCTTGAGGTAATAGAGCAGTTATTCATGGTTATACAGCTGGTAAGTGTCAGGTTTAGAACTTGAACCCAGCTCTGTCCTTCCTTCCATGATGTGATGCTTCCTCTTCAATTGCATGCCCTACTGAAGGTAGATGGGGAACATCATCACATCTTCCCTCCCCGTCAGGGGTCTGGCCAGGGTAAGTGAAGATGCTGTCTTGTATTCACTGTCATGTCCTTAGCAACTAGCATAGTGCCCCTGCACGTAGCAAGGGATCGCTGTTCGATTGATGAATGAATGAAAATGGATGGTATCTCATTAGGCCTAGGAAGGTCAGCCCAAGGGCATAATCATGGGCCAAAAGAAAGGAATGGTTCATAGAAGGTACCTGGTTTACCTTCAGTTACTGCCCTTCACTGGAAAGTTCTCATATTCGGAGTTCAGGACCATGAAGACAGAGACATCCTTGGAAATTGGACATCTTTGCCATTGTCTCTCTGGAATTATGTCAAACATTCTTTTAAACTGGTCTGGAGATCTTGATTAGTTGGCACAGTGATACTTTGAGGTTTTATTCTCACATTGCAATCTAATTTATTAGAATATATTAGTTAATTTATTAGTTGCTTCTGGGTATCTGAAATATTTTCCTCATCGGAATTGGTGTCATGAGATTAAGTGAGGAATATGATTTTGAAAGTCTAAATAAAATGGGCCTATTCAAAATACTAATTGCACTGTCTGATTATGATTAGCTTAAGAAAAAAGAGACTGAAAAATAGTATTAGAAAACCACTTGCATTTTGCTTTTCTTTGCTTATCTTTTGTTGAGTCACATTTCCAATTTGTTGCTGTTAGACTGCTAGTCTAAAATCAATCTCTTTCTCATCCATGCAAATAAAGGGAATATTTCAAAGAAACACGAACCACAATCCCAACTTGATGTCTTACTCTCAAAACCTTTGAAGAGAGAACATCATCACTTGGAGGACATTCAGGATGGCTCTGGCTTCCTGTAATTTTTCTCAGCTTTTATTTTGTTCTGTCATCAGGCAAAGTATCTGCTTCAGAAAATCACAACACTGACGTGAGGGAGAAAAAAACCCACCAAACTTTCTTTTTCCTTCCTTGTGAAACATGCCACTCCTTGAAAAGACACAAGCGCACATCAAGGACTGAAAGAGACACGCTGTTCAGTGTATGCTAATAGAAGGCTGTCACTAGTACAAGTTTATCCAGTGGAGCAAACCTGAACATCACAACATTGTGATTCATACTGACACATTGTGTTGCAACAGGATGAGACTGCTTTCAAACACCATGATGTTGCATTAAAAAGAAAAGTGTTTCCAGGCTCTGGAGAATTATTCTGGGCTGGCTCTGAATTAAGTCGTGCATCTGAAAAGTTACTGCCAAGAAATGCTCTGTTATAGCGTAAGAAAACTCTGTGAAGAAGTTGATATAGTGAAGAAGCTACCAGCAGGTGCATGACGTCACTGAACGGCATGGAGAGGTTGACTGGTTTTGCAGCAGGAAATATTTAGCTTCTTGCTGCTTGTTGGGCAGTTCTCATATGGAAGACAGTTCGACAGTCATCCCTGCTTCCACGTGGCATGGTACAGGCATGGCAATAGGCAGCCAGCCATTCCCAGACAATTTAAGTATGTATCACCAGACCCCCATCCAGCTCAAAATATTAACCATTTACTCATGAGGACCAAGGCTTCGACGTCTTCTCTCACTCTCAACACCAATTGATATTTATTGACCAGCTACTATAACGCCTACTTCTGGAAATCTCCTCACACACTAGGGTTCTTAAAACAGAATAGATTCTGCAAAATGCTATGGGTGCCTTAAAATAAGATTCAGACTTAACATCTGTGGAGTCTTCGTAGCCTCACAAACCAATGAACAAACTCACCCATGTCTGAAGAAAGTACTGAATTGCCTGCAGAGACGGTGAGCAAGTTCACGTTTCCCTCCGGCTTGTGGACCAACTAATACCAGCATGGGGTAAGGGGCATCGAGGCTAGGCAAGGTGCTGGAACAACACAAAAACAATCACATCTATGCTCAGTTACATGATATCTAGATATAAACCAAATTTACTTCTATTACTACTGTAATTGCTATTAAAATAAGGAAGGGGAGAGGAGGAAAGCACTTAAAACATCTACTATGTGCCAGGCACTTTTTACAAATATTATCTCATTTGATCCTCACAATGATCTTGTGAGGTAGACACTATTATTATCCCCATTTTACAGTTGAGGACACTGAGGCAAACAGAGGTTAAGTGAATTGCCTAAATTCACACAACTAGTTGAGTGTCTAAGGCCACATTTGAACTCAGGTCTTCCTGACTCCAGTCACAGCACTTTATCTGTATATCACCAGCTGCCTCTGTAATGATTATTTTTACAAACATAAAATGTATTAACTACAGTGATCCTTTCAAAAAGCTAAAGGATCACCATATATAATGTTCAGATCAAACATAGTCATAAAGTAAAAATCCAAACATATATGTTTAAGGAAAAAAAAAGAAAATGTTGAACTTTAGCTTACTTGGGGACTTTCCTAATATAGCTAGGGACTGGACCTTTGGTATCATCAATTTAGGGAACTCCCAGGTGAGAAAACTCCCTCCAGCAATGCAAGTCAGGACCTCCTCTGTACCTTACAGTCTTAGACCCTTAGGCCCTCTGCCTAGGGCCCACAGAAGCTACCTGGCTTGCCCCAGCTCCCAGAGCCAGCGTGTGTCACAGGTAGAACCTGACTCCAAGGCCATCTCTCCACCCACTCACTGTGTAATGCTGCTTCTCATTGGCTTCTAAATGGAATCCCCAGTGACCTGTAACTTTTCTTTCTAGTAATGACCTACCAGGCATTTCATTTGTATTTCGCTGGTATGAAAGTAAAGTTTAATAAATTAAAATTGATTACTGATTTTGATTTAACATGATAAAGTACCAGAAAATTAGACTTTATAAACATTAAATTCATCAATCAGAGAATAAAAAAGAATTAGATAGATTTCATTAATGGATACAATGTATGGTTTCCTAATTGAACACTGGCATACTGAGAAATGTAATTTAAAAAATTGGTTGTTACCTTAAGTACTAAACCATATGTTCACCTATTTGAAAGTACATTAGCTCCAAAGAAAATTAAAAGGCTTGCTTGAAAGATACAGTTTTATTAGCAGATATAAACAGACATGACTTTCAGGAGAGGGAATGTTCAGAGGGACGGAAACAAAAGGGAAGCTAGCTAAGACATGGAGGTGTAATAATCAAAGGCATTGGTGGCCATTTGGTGATGTTCCTATTTTCCACCCATGCTAAAATTAGAACCTCTGAAAGCAAAGCAGCTATTTTTTTTTCTTGCTGAGGCATTCAGGGTTAAGTGACTTGCCCAGGGTCACACAGTTAGGAAGTGTCAAGTGTCTGAGGCTGGATTTGAACTCAGGTCCTCCTGACTCCAGGGCTAGTGCTCTATTCACTGTACCACCTACATGCCCCTTAAAGCAGCAATTTCTGATTGAGAAAAACATCAGTCTTTGTCCAGGGGTAGATCAGAAATGATCAATCACTTGATTATCCAACTACTGCACCAGATTTTGTTTTACACATATTTTTATATGAATATATCCATAAGCATGAGACAACTAGCATTTCTTAGTGGAAAAAAAACTCAAAATAATGAAACCATACATGTTTCTGTTAAGTCAAATGTACTTTTCCAGAAATACTCAAAGAAATGATAAAAACATTTTGCACAAAGAATGCAATGAACACATTTTACAATATTCAGTACCTGGGTTATCAAACTGTACAAAAATTATGTCCTTTGTTGAAAACTAAAACATTTTACTCTTCCTGGGTTCCCAAGAATACAAAATGATGGCGTAAATTCTATATGAAGATCAGACATTTTAGAGCCACTTAATCCCAGAGGTTTTACAAGTATTTTTTAAAATTCCTTTAGATATTGATATAATTTTTACATCCTACACTTGTAGCACAAATGGCTATCTGCCCCAACAGACTATTTAAAAAGAAATAAAGAAACTATTGCAAACCTGTCTCACCAAGCTTTGAGGTGGCAGACCAAATTCATTTTTCAATTCAACCAAGTTGGATTTCTAAGCTCATTTCTAAGCTGTGTGTAATGAAAATGTTAGCTTTTCCCTTAGGCTAAATCTAAAGCATGTATAAATGCAAGTTATTATTACTACCAGAGGGCTATCCCAAAGATCTTTATTAGTTTAAAATTCTTTGACAGAAGTATTTAGGTGTTTACTCAAATGTTAATGAACAATTCTCTATGGCATTATAGACTAACTCAATTCTCCTAATGAGGCCAAGGCCACAGATTGCAGTTCTTCCTGGTATAGGCCATTTTATTACTTCATGGCTATAGCCATATGCAAGCTCTGTTTCCAAAATCAAAAGTCACTTTGAGACCTGTACCATTGGTCATGAGGGAGCCCGGGATGATCTCCACTGGAAAAGAAGAGCATCATCACCTTCAGCTACAAAGGACAGCAGATGAGGAAGCAGGACTAGCACAGTCTTGTCCAAGCAAACTAAGCTGGAGCATTTTCTAACAGAGGGAAAGTGGTATTACCAAGGGGGACAACATCCTCTAAGACAGCGCCAAAAAACACCTCGGGCTGCTTTGGTGAGCTTGAGCACCACCCATGTGTGGTCCTGAGTGTGGACCAAGAATGGCTAAATGCACCTACCTGTCAAAGATCCTCTGAGGCTGCATCATGCTGTTTGCAATGTGGGTCAGATGATCTTGAGCGGCGACTACTTCAGGGGGAGGGTTATACTTGTTCAATGCTCCAACCTGTTTCCAGAATTAGAAGTAAAAATGGAAGGGAGTGGGGCAGCAAAGAGGGGGAGAGGGAAATGAGGTCACCATAGCAAATATCTTTATAAAGAGGAGAAAGTTGTTTCCTAATTAAAAGTTCCAATTCTCATGTTTTGCTTATTAAAGACTGCTCACCCAATTCAACTCTTGAGAATAAATGAACTCCTGAGATAAATTAATAGAAAATAATAAGTGGAAATTGAGCTGTTCTTTATTTACTCATTTACAACTTGTGTTTGGGGAGAGGACGAAGTAAACAAAGCTTTAAAGCTGTGATTATATGTGATAGATTTTAAAAATCCAATTTTTATCATGAAAGGAGGGAACAGCTTAAATTTATAGTCCTAAATATCAATGTAGCCTATTTTTCTAATCCATCCTTAGTAAAGAATAGTAATAGAGGATTTTGATAATGTTCTCTTTAAACTCCCTTTTTATTAATCAATGTGCAAAATATTATTTTTAAAATGTCAAAATAACCTTTTAAAATAAGAATCACAGAGTGTTAAGAGTTGGGAGGGCCTTTGCAATTCATCTAATATTAGTGGGAAAGGCACAAATTTTAGATTAAATATTAAGATATACCCTACAGTTTATTATGGAGATAAAATACATCAAAAACAAATAGCTATAATACACAATATTTCATTTAAGTATTAGAAAATTAAAAAAAAAGCAAAATGCTATGTGAAATGCTAAGTTCATCAACAAGGGAGATTAATTCAATTAAATGAGCAATTATCAAGTACCTACTGGGTGCTAGGTAGTAGAGATGTAAAGCCAAACAAACATCATGGAGGATTGGACTTTGATATATGAGTATGGATACCATGGGTGAAAGAGGAAAGAAGAACATTCCAAAAGCATGGAGATCCCAGTGTGTCTGCTCAGAGGGGAGAGACTAGTACATTGAGTTTCAAGTAGCACACTCAGTTTGAGTGGGTGAAGGGAAATAATAGGAAATAGGAAATCCCAAATACCTTTGGAAAGGTAGGATGACCTCAGAATGTAAGGGCCTTGCATACCAGACAGAGGAGGCTGTACTTTGCTCAGCAGGAGCCACTGAACACTTTTGAGCAAAGGAATGACATGATATGCATGAGAAAAGTTCTTCTGGTGATGGAATAAAGGATGGATTGGAGAATTCACTGGAGGTGGGAGGAGTCCAAGAGTCTAGGCAGATATTAAGGAAAACCTGTACTAAGGAGATGACAGTGAAAACAAGGAAGGGAGCGGGATGCATAAGATACTGCAAAAGTGGAACTTATGGTACTTGATACCTGATCTTATAGGAGAGGCAAGGCAAAAGAAAGAATGAAAAATAATCCCATGGTTTTATAATGAGCTCAGTTTTAAACATGCTGAGTGTGAGGTTTTACTGGGAGATGGAGTATAGGCAGAAGAGAGGTCTAGGACAAGAAATGGAGATTTGAAAATCACGTGCATAGAGGTCACAGGGAGCAGATGAGAATGCCAATGTGGGGCAGAAAGAAGGCTAAGGATGGACCCTTATGGAAGGAGCATTTACAGAAAGAGGAAGAGAAGCAGGGACTGTGGTATCTCTTAAAGCAAAGCCAAAGAGTATTAAATACATGGGCTTGGTCAATAGTGATGAAGCTGCAGAGAGATCAAAGAAGATGAGAGCTTTATAAAAGGCCACTGGATCTGACAATTAGGAGGTCATTGACTCACTCTAGAGAAGTTTTCCTGGAGTGTTGAAGGTGGATGCCTTATTATAACAGGAGAGGAGAGGAGAGGACAGGAGAGGAGAGGAGAGGAGAGGAGAGGAGGGGGGAGTAAGGGAATGGAAACATGGAGTGTAGAAAATTTTTCTAAGAGATTAGCTGTGGAGAGATAGGGTGGTAAATGGATGAATTAGAAGGGTCAAGGAAATGCTTTTTTAGGATTGGGATAATCTGCATGTTTGTAAACAAGTAGGAAGGGAGAGATTGAAGAATAATGACAAAGAGAAGCTTTTGAGGAAGATGTTTCTGGAATTGAACAAGGTATTGGAGGAGGCAGGAAGGAATAGGATTAGGGGAATAGTTAAAGATATTGGCCTTAGTACAGAATAGGTATATCACTTCTTCTGTGACCAAAAGGAAAGAAAGGCAATGATGCTAGGGAGTTATGCAGAATGGAGGAGAGGAGATAACACAGGTAAGGGAACTCATATAAAATGACCTCAGTAATCTCTGAAATAAGAAGCTAGCCATCTCCTATAATTTGGGAGGGAAGGGATAAAAAAGGAGATAAGGAAAAACAAGAGATGTTAGCTATGAGGACTGAAATAGATCATCAATAAGGGTAGAGTAGAAGGACTGTGGAGCATAGCAAGAATCCAGCTGAGATTCATGTGCTAAAAATATCAGTGAAATATTAGGTAGAATCAGTTTGAATTTGTGACTTTCTCCCACAACACTCAATAAACTCAACTGCCCCTGAAGCAGAAACAGAGGAATGGGACCACCGGGATTGACCAGGAGCAACGTTTCACAGGTAAAGAATTATAGGAAGCTAAGGATTAAAGAGACCCTAGGATCACTAGATTCTAATTACTACCCTAGAATCCTTTGATTTCTTGACCTTTAGTCATTCTTGGTAGTGAAGCATTAAAATGATAGACCACTGGGTTAAGGCAACATGATTTAATTTTGTTCAGTTGCTTAATGATTTAAATATTTTTAAAATTTTAAAATCTCTACTGATACTATAATTGATACTATAATACTTAGACTATAAGTGCCAAGAAAGAGAGAGTTATCTATATCTGTTTAATTTGTTTAGCTGTGTACCCCTCTAGGATAGAATAAAAATGCCTCAACTTGGCATTTAAAGCCCTTGATAGTCTGGCTCTACCACATTTCCAAGTTTAGAATATAAGCTCCTCAAGGCAGAGATGGTTTCACTCTCTCTGTATATGCATCCCTAGCACATAGCGTAATGTCTGGCACATAGCAGGTACATCTATTGCTTGTCAATTATTTCATATTGCACCCCTTCACACACTCTGCATTCCAGACAAGATGGCCTCCTTCTTCTCCAAACCCAACATTTTTGCTTCTCCTTCCTTGCCTTCGGAGAGGCTGTCCCCAGTGCCTAGAATGCCCTCTCTCCTCATCTCCATCTTTTTCTTACAGGTTCCTCTCATGCACCATCTTCTACTGGAATACTTTCCTTATCATCCTAATTGTTAGTGCTTTCTCTTGTCTTCAGACTATCATGGATAAATGTATCCATTTACATGCTGTATCTCTTAAAAAGAATGCAACCTTCCTGAAGACAAGGGATGTTTTTCATTTCGTCTTTACATCCCCAGAACCTAGCATAGTATCTTGCACATATTAGGAAATTTTAAAATCCACGTTGGATTGGACTGGATGGAATAGTCAAAGATTGAGTCCATAGCTTTTAGTCTTGGTGACTGAGAGAATGGTAGTGCCAGAGAATTTGAAAGTATGGACGGTTTTTGAGGGAAAGATAACTCCAATTTTGGATATGTTGAACTGGAGGTTTAGGAAGCATATTCAGATGATGATGTTTAGCAGGCAGTTAAAATGTGGCATTGGAGCTTTGGGGAGAGAGGTCAATTTGGGAACTACAAATAGAGGAGAAAAAATGAAGCCATGAAAGTAAGTGAGTTCACTAAGGGAGTAAAGAGGTAAGAAGAGAGCCAAGATTAGGGCTTAGAGGGTACCTCCACCCTTAGAGGGCAAGGGGAGGAAGGCAAAACTGAAAAGGAGACCAAGAAATAGCCACAAACAAGTAGATAACCAAAATAAAATGTCAAAAAGGAAAAAAAAGGGGACAAATCCTGGGATTCGTACTTGGCCTTGGACAGTTTAACATTTTTATCAGTGACTCAGATAAAGACCTAAATGGTATACACATCAAATCTACAAATGACACAAAACCAGGAGGGATTGCTAATACTGTGAATAATAGAATACAAAGGATCTTGATAAGATCATTAGGCTTAATATAATAAGATGAAAATCAATGGGAATAAATGTAAATTCTTGCACTTGGGTACAAAAAAAATTAACTTCACAAATATAAAACGGGAGAGACATTGACAGACAATAGTTATTCTGGAGAAAAAAAAAAAGCCAGTGGTTTTAGTGGCCTGTAAGCTTCCTATGGATCAGCAATGCAATGTGGCACACCCCAAAAATGCAATCTTTGGGGCTGCATTAAGAAGGATGTAGCTTCAAGGAATAGGGCAGTGACACTTTCCCTATAACCTGTGCTCATCAGAACTTCCCCAGAGTGTGATGTTTAATTCTGGGTACCACTGTTTAAGAAAGACATTGAAAAGCAGGAACAGTGTCTAGAGAAAGGGAATCATGATGGTGAAGGGCCTAGAGTCCATGATATATGAGGACTATTTGAAGAAACATATTTAGCCCAAAAAAGAAAAGATTCAGAGAGCACATGACAGAGGAGAATGAGGGGGGAAATCAGACTTGCCCCAGAGGGCAGAATCATGAACAATGGGAGGAAGTTGTAAAAGGGCCAATGCAGGTTTGATTTCAGGAAAAATTTCCCAAGAATTAGAGCTGTCTGAAAATGGAACGGACTGCATTGAAAGGCAATGGGTTCTCCCTTCTTGAAGGTCTTCAAGCAGAGGCTGAATGACTACTGGGCATGTTACAGTCAGGATTACTTTCATGCATGCATTGGCATTACATGGCTGCTGAGTTCCCTCCTGAGTCTCACATTCTGTAATTCTGTGAATTATATATCAGACCTTAAGGACAGTACCTTTTCTTCCACTTTAATCTTCTTTCGATCTAATTCTGTTAGTCGAGGCAATGTGTAAAGGACAAAGAGCCGATAGTCGGTTTTCTCCTGTCAAGAAGATGAGGGAGAGTTCTCAGTTACTTTCTTACATAAACAAATCCTAGAATCCTCCCATGACCTTGCTTACCTCTCAACCTTTCTTCCACCCAACCAAAGTTACTCACTTACGTTATCTATCGACTCTTTCCACTATCTTCTAATCACTGAATCAAGTACCTTCTCTTCTCTCTCTTAGCCACACACTACTGATATACACAAGCTTGTGAATGCACACTTATCTCTGCACAAGGAATTATCATGGAAAAAACCCAATTGCTTGGGCAACTGAGTATTTGAATGAGCACGTGAAAATACCAATCTCAGAGTGTTAATGTGTGGGTGTAAACTTAATAAAGAGAAGGTAACTATGTGTATGTGTTTGTGCAAGTGGCTGTCAAAGAATGTGTGTTAAGATTTACAGGAGTGTATATAAGCTCTTAGTGAGACTTAAACCTCAAACTCTGTTACTATCTCTCCTATAGGGAAAGTACAGGAGCTGACGCTATTCTCACATAAGGGTGATTGTGCCGAGGGCAATCATTTGCAGCTGTCTGTTCCCTTTTTAAAAAGATATTTGTAGACAAAACATAGACATTTTATGAAACTGTGAAGAATAAGTGAAACTGTGTGAGTAGGTAGGACAGACACAAGACGGGTGATTAAATAGATTCATAGAAAGGAGAAGCTGAGCAAGTGGGCAAACATTGTAAGTGACTGAGAAAAAGGACGACGGAATAGGGGAAATACATTATTTACTTTGCAGTAATTTCATGGCAAATAAAATGCTCTTTCTCAGAAAATTGGCTCAGAGACCTATTCTGGTAGGTTCTTCTTCCTGTTATTACACAATATTTTCTGTTTAAACCATTGGTGTCTTGGCCAATCCAAAGAAACATTAATCTGCAACATCAACAGCTTCTCTAGTAAATCTTTTAATACCACTCAAGATGAGTGAAAAATGACCCCAAAGCAGTCAAGTTTGATACTCAGTACTGGGCTCCACTTTCAGCGGAAGTTGCATGACCTTAAGCTTGCTAGTCAGCAAAGATTTGGGGGGCCTGAAATTGTCTAGACTAAGAAAAACACAGGGGCAGTGAGGTGGTGCAGTAGAGAGACTACCAGGCCTGGAGTCAGGAAGACTCATCTCCCTGAGTTCAAATCCAGCCTCGGACACATACTAGTTGTGTGACTCTGGGCAAGTCACTTAACACTGCTTGCCTCAATTTCCTCATCTGTAAAATGATCTGGAGGAGGAAATGGCAAACCACTCCAGCATCTTTGCTGAGAAAACTCCAAATGGAGTCACAAAGAATTAGATATGACTGAAAAACAACTGAACTGACAAGAAAAAGATAATCGAGCAAAGAGAATGCTTCTAATTTTAATAACAAGCAGTTTGAGGGTGATTTGTCACTTAATCTTTCTAAATATTCTCAAGATGAGGTAATAAAGATGGACACATTTATGTTTCTCTATATTCTTTACCAAAAGTTCTGCTTGGAGATAATTGATTCAATAATGAAAGTCCATTTCATTTCTTTCCAGTATCTGCTGCATCTTACCTGAAGAGGGTTTTTTAAAAGATTGAGCACCCGAAGAAGTGGCAGGTTTTCAATGTGTTTTAATTCACTCAACTCTGCAATCTGTTTAATCACAGAAACACAATATTAGCACAAAACTAAATAACAAAAACAAAAAAATTGAAGGAGTCATTGGGGTCTTTCCAATTCAGCATGCTACAAAGATTATTCTGTTGTTTATTCGTGCCCTACAGGACTGGAAAAGATGCATTAACCTCTACAGAATGGGAACTCTCACCCAGAAGTACATTTGTTAAATTTTTACTCCTTTGGGCAATGAACAGCCAATTATGGTTCTGATATTCTACATCTTCTTCATATTTATTTTAAGTCAGAAATCAAATACAGTGAACAGATCAGGAAGTAGTAAAGCAAAAAACACATGGGGTGTGTTGGGCCACTATACTCTATTAGAATTATTTATGTTGGTTGCAATTTACTCACCCACAATGCAGCTTTATCAGATAGATATAGATATGTTTGTGTGTGTATTACCAAGAGAGCATTTTAAAAATCAAAATCAAAGATTACATAATTTTGATAATGTGCAGTCTCCTAGCCAAATTTCTTACATTCTTTTTTAAGCTCTCAGGAGACAACAGAAATGTTATGTTACTGGAAAATGTTTCTCATACAAAAGTTCACGTGCAGTGAAGAAAGGCTGCTTAGCCAACAGGTGTCATCAATTCTCCATCCATATTGTTTCAGCAGCTGGGTATAAAGAGTTTTCTATTTCCATTGCCTGTAAGTAATATTGCTATGATTTTTCTTTTACATATGGTTAGTGAGGCTCCCAAAAGCCCATAACTGCCTTTTCTTTTTTCTTATTTTTCCCACAGGCACTTTTCCAAATGTGACAGGAGTCCTCCAATAGTGCAGTAAAGGAAAATCGCATCATGATGCTCCTGTGACAAACAAAATCTCTGCTGCCCAGTAGTAAAATAGCCAAAATCCAAAATATTTCTAAACCCTCAAAATGGGGAGGACATTTGCATATACATTATGTTTTGCTATGTATCTCACCAAGGTGGAAGAAAGAAGTATCACTTGGACTTCCATTAGGCCAGTCCATAGAAAAAGGGTTTAACTCTCCTTTTTTCTTCAAGGTAAGAATATAGATAGGACTTATAATGTTCAGGCTTCTTGAGCCTGAACACAGAAAAACAGACTGTTGTCTCCCATTTCTGGACACATTCTACATAAGTCAATTTGAGTAGAGAGTTTTTGATTGTAGTATTAAAAAAAAAAAAAGGATCCATGTACCCTTAGGGGCTTATTAGCGAAGTCTATAGTATCTGGAAATTACTTCTTTATTACTAGGGTATCTAGAATTCTTAATAAAAATTCTAAACAGCTCAGCAGTTTCTGGTCAGCACACAAAGCTAGGAGAAGGGAAATGTCAACTTCTGGGGAAAGCTCTAAGAATTGACTCTTTTTATAAAGATGTAAAGGATGTGTCAACTAATAGGCCAGTCAGTTGGTTAGACTTTCCCCCCATGCTTTCTATCCCTCTCCAGTAACTCTCTAACTCAAAGAAAACCTTTCCTTGTTTCTTTGGGTTCTGCCATATAATTTACATTTCTATACAGTCCATTATTTTCAAGGTCATCTGTATCACAGGTCACAGATTCAGATCTGGAAGGGCTTTTAAACTTCATCTTAGGTTTGTTTTACAGCTCAGGAAACCAAGAACCAAATGCATGGCGATCAGTGGAGTCAAAAGCCAAATTTTGCTTTTCTGACTCCAAATATGGCCTCTCACAGGCCTGACCCTCCTCATCCTACTCTGTGTGAGAAGGAAACATCTGGATTCTGGTCCAGCTTTTGCCACTAGTTACCTATTTGATCTCAGGCAAATGATTTCACTTTTAGCCTTGGTTTCTTCATCTATAAAGAAAGGTCATTTAGATGAACACTAAGATCAATTATTACTCTAAAATTCTATGATGTTAGGATTCCATTTACTGGGCTTTAGAATCTTGCTGTAAAATATGATTACTGTGAATAAATCACTCTACATGACTTTATGAATCTTGTTCTGCCTTGTTTAAAAACACTGTGATCCATGGAAAGGGTCGTGGTTCTTTTTAATAGAGACAGTTTGGGTCAAAAGTCAAGCTGTAAAGATTGGTGGTGATTTACCAAGAAGCTGGGGATATTTTTCAAATAGAAAAAAGAAAATAGGTTAATATTTAGAAGCTTGCTTGGCAAGGAAACTATCACTTGGGGGAAAAAGAATCCATATTCTTTTTTCCATTGCATAGGCTGTTAGGATTGGGTGACAATGGCCTGCCAAACACAGAGATGCAGAGGGAATGAGATCTTAAGTCTCAATCCGTCCAAGGCATTGAGAGGTCTTCAAAGGACAACCTGGTGAAGAAAGATAATAAGTAAATAAGAAGTATATGCTGATTTTTCTGAGAAAGCCTGTTTATAGCAACTTAATCTCAAGGTCTATGTGGATAGGTAGGGTTCACTGATTCATTGGAAACACCATTTTTGTAAGAGTTGGATCCAGTAGGAGGCAGTGGGTCTTACTAAACATTAGTTGGGGCAAAAGGAGCAAAATGGAGAGAGTGACTATGCTGGTGCAATAATGGGGGAAGGACCTTTTAAAACCTCACACAAGGAAAGATTTCCATGCCTATTAGGGGGCTTATAAGCTAATGGTTAATTATACATATACAAAAGGAAAAAGGTCATATGCCAATTGGGGGCCAGATCACTGATGTAGAATGGGCCAAGGCAACGAGGGCAGGTCCCTACAGGAATTTGTGGAAAGGGCCTAGGTCCACAAGGGTGGGGGACCTGCGGCCTAGAGGCCACATATGGCCTCCTAGGTCCTCAAGTAGCTTCAAGGCCATAAGTTTCCCACCCCTGGTCTCAGAGTATATGGCATTTCCCTCAAGTACCCATAATCTGAGTTCTTCCAGGAGAATAGAGATAATGAAGAGAAAGAAGGGAGAGAGCTAACAATTTTGGAAAAGCAAATAAGACCATTCCTTCTCCTTACAAGACAACTCAACTGACTGGTTATGACAGAAAATCAAATGCTAAAAGAAAGTTGCCAATAAGTCCATCAACAAGCATTTAGAAAGTGCCATGTATACGCTATTAAAGACATTTGATACTCCTCTGATGCCCCCAAAGCTCTCCCCAAACTACTTGTGCACAAGGAAGATGCTGACAATAAAATAAAAATATCAAGGCTAAGGGAGGGAAAGGATTAGGGGAAAAAATGAGGACTAAAATGGTCAAAATTAGTGACATGCCTGAGTATGAAGTGTGATGGGTCAGGGTTAGCCAGGAAAGACAAGGACCGGGAACAGACCTCCATAAAAACATGTGTCCAGCAGATACCACAGGCAAGCCAGGGGTCAAATCTAAAGAAATCAGCTATATTACAGGGAAGCAGGATAACATGGCATGGTGCAGAACTCAAGAGGTCAGAGTTAGGGAGTTGCATTTTATCCTCAACCAAGAACAGAGGCCATTTGCTTTCTGCCTTGTTTTATGTTCTGTGCTGGTTGTAGTCAGGCCTATACTTACAACTGCTGATTGTATCCATTAGGATGTCAGAAATCTGGCAGTACAAGGGGGAATACCTTGTCTAGGCCCCAGTTAGGGGCCTAGACAGAAATTTGAGTCTAACTCATAATATCATCTCTCCTGGTTGGGTGTTCTCACCTTTTATTGAGGCCCTGATGTTTCAAGAGAGCTGACTTGTGGACTTTTGTAGAAGAATAAAACTTTTCCATAGAATCCCTGCATCATTCTTTCTTTCTTTCTTTTTTTGGGGGGGGGGGGCTAGGCAATGGGGTTTTGGGTTTTTGGGCAAAGTGACTTGCCCAGGGTCACACAGCTAGTAAGTGTTATGTGTCTGAGGCCAGATTTGAACTCAGGTCCTCCTGAATCTAGGGTCAGGGCTCTATCCACTGCGCCACCTAGCTGCCCCCTGTATCATTCTTTTATAACATACACCACCCATTTTATCAGAAAATAATAAAAATAACAGCTAGCATTTATATAGTGCTTTGAGGTTTGCAAAAAGTGTTACAAATATTTTTATTTGATTCTCATAATACCCCTAGATGGTAGATCCTATTATTATTATTTCCATTTTACAGATGAGGAAACTGAGGAACACAAGGATAAGTGACTTGCCCAAGGTCACACAACTAATAAGAGTCTAAGACAGAATAGGTCTAGAGCTCTATCCACTGCATTACCCAGCAGCCCAGAAAACAAATTTTCCATATGCCACCTTGAAGTTAAGAATTCTTCGTGTCCCTGATGGGTCACTTTAGAAAGAAAAGTGATGATCTGGACAAAAGAGAGGCTATTGAAGAGGGATTTGATGGGGTCAGCACAGAACGCCAGATAAAAATCTTGATAAATCTTGAAATTCCAACTAAAATCTTGATTGGATGTAGGAGTATATGCCTGAAAGCAACAAGGTGGCACAGTGGAAAGAATGCTAGATTTGGAATCAAAGGACCTTGGTTCAAATTCTAGCTCTGCTGCTTATTACTTATAAGATTTTGAACAAATTGCTGATCTTTTCTGTGCTTCAGTTCCCTCATCTTAGAAATCAGAGGGTTAGACCAAATAATCTCTCAGCACTAGGGTCTAATATTTCCTTCCAGTTCAAGATCCTATGACCCTAAGAGTAAATCTGCTGTAGAATGGGGTCATATTTCTGGTCAAAGTTTGCAGTGGGACAATCAGTCTAACGGCCAGATAGTGTGGAAAACGGGAGAGCGGCTCAATAGTGTCAGTTGACTTAACTTCCATAAGGTAGATCTGCTTCCTTGAGCTTCCAGATCAAGGGGTTCCTACTGATCATGTACAGATCATTGTCCCCATTGGTAAAGGTCAGAGTAGGCAAGTATCTTCCTGTGGGACTTTAAGCAAAAGTCTATTGCGTCCAAGTGTGGGAGGTGTTATTATATGTGAAGGAATTGTGATCTAGCAAGAAAACTACCCAGATATTAACCTGGAAGCATGTGAGGCAAGTGGTTCACCAGATCATCCTGGCTATTTTTCTGATGGCGATGGACTATGGATAACTAAAATATAAAATTACATCTTGGGCTAGATTCTCCCTTGCTTTGGGGAAGATGGAATTTGCTACAGAGTTCCTGAAGGAATAACACCTGTGAAGCAGACAATGAATGTAAGAAAAAGGACCACAGAACATTTGGAATTCAGTAACAAATATGTTATCCCAGGCATGATGTCGAGGGTTCATGAGTGCCACTAGGCTGGGCATGGGGGTAAGGGCCCTGAGATACTGGTCATTCTGAATGGACTGCCTCCAGTTGCCCTATCTATCTAAATAAAGTACTCCTGCCAGAGGATATTGACAGTAAAAGAACCTGGTTACAGATCAGAGGGGGTCCTTTAAACCCTCAGATTCAGCTGTTGTCGGAGGGACCCTACTGGCATTGTTATGCTTTGCTTTTTTAAAAAATAAATGTTACTGTTATGTTTTGTTTCTATATCACCTACATTTCCCAATGTACTCCACTTCCTCTCTTTCCCAGAAAACCATCCTTTTTTTAGCAAAGGATAACAGAAGAAAGCTGTCCCACAAAACTAACAAATGTATTGAAAAAGTCTGACACTATATTCAGCATTCCAAAACCACAGTCTTTCACCTCTGCAATAAAGGTGAGGGAGAGGCAAAAGATAGTTTTCAATGGGGTCATGATGACATCTCTGAAAAATCAACAACACCTTTATTTGTTTAACAGTGATTCTTATTCTTTCAATTTCTGAATGGCAAACTTGATTTGCAAATTTTATTCTAATATAAGGGAAAATAAGCTGTGTTCCTATATTTGGGAATACCCCTTTGAGCAGGTGACAAGGACAGCTTTCCCAGAAGCCTCTGAATGCCAAGTAGGGAGTGTAGCTGCCTACAGAACTACAGAGCTTTCAAACTGGACTGTGATTAAGAATTCCTTTATTTTGAAAGCAAATTCAGGTCAATGTGTGAATAAAAAAGATTTGATTATCTGTAGCTTCATCTGAGATGGAAAATGTTCCCTTCCCTCTCCTGGGAACGTTTACTTATTCTAAATCCCTGAATAATGAGGAGTCATTGGTTAGAACTGAGGGGGGTATTAGTATTCCTGAATGAGGAAATGTTTACATAGCACAACATCTGGCTCTACACAGCACTGACACTCTCTACCAAGACCAATCATATCCTTAGTTTATGTGGGAAGAGCCTAGAGCTTCTCTCAAGAATAAACCTTTCCCAAAACATGGCAAAGTCCCCAATGTGAACAGAATTATTTCTTAAGCCATACTACAGGACAAATCAGTCAAGTATACCAACTTAAAACTTTACGCATCAAAATATGTTTTATTAAAAATAAAGTGTGATTAAAAGCAAAAAACAATTTGTGTAATTTGTGAAGTAATGTGAATTAAGTGTGGTGTGGGGATCTGAATAAATGTAATTAGTTATTCATTATGCAGAGTTAAAACGTTGTATTGTATTAAAATTTTAAATTAAAATTTATTCTATTTTCAGGTCTTCATTTTTTTCCTTCCCGCATCCCTCCCCCAACTTCGGAAACAAGAAAAACAAAAATCATTACAAACATGTATAGTCAAGGAAAACAATTTTCACACTGGCCAAGCCCCCCCCAAAAAAAGTCTCAACCTGCACTCTAAGTACATTACCATAATGGAAGTTTTTTTCTTAAGTATCCTTTACGAAAAGCAGTACACCCATTCTACCTTTTCTCAAGAAGAGATTAGGTGAATTACCCTTGCATACCACAAAGATGAGTTTGTGTCTTCTTTGACTCTATCCAGAGGTGGGCGCTATTGTATTTAAAACAAAATAAAAGACTTAACTTTTTCTTCCTTTTAAATACTATTGATGACAGCCTCCTCTCAGGCTATTTGGACACCATTATTTTCCTAGAGCCAACATCCCAGAGCTGCCAAATGCCAGTCATTCATCCTTCCACCCAGAAATGTGGAAGCAGTGGATCTCTGAACAATTGGATCAAAAATTCTGGACACAGTCTTGAGAGAAAAATATGATGTAATTGGCAACCTTTGAGAAACTACTATGAAGAATATTGTGGTAAGTCAGGCAGTCAGTCAGTAAACATTTATTAAGCACCTACTCTGTGCCAGGTGCTGCACTAAGCCCTAGGGATACAAAGAAAGGTAAAAGACAATCCTTGCTCTCAAGGAGCTCATAGTCATCAACGTACTATCTTTAAAAAAGCTGAAAAAAAAACTATTTATATATGATGTTACCTTATTATCTTCTAGGCTGATTATTTCCAGAAGGTCATGATTTTCTATGCCTTGTAAGCTACTGATTTTATTTCCAGATAAATCCAAGTTCTGCAGTGTTTTCAGGTTGTCCAAGCAAGTTATCTCCTCGATCTGGTTATTGCTCTAAAATTGATCAAACATACATTTAATTTTGTTTTAGGTTATTGATGATGAATATTGTTATTGTGCCTAAATGCCTGTTTTTTTCATTTTTAATACTGTTCAAAATCTGGTAAGAAGTAGCAAGTCATTCTCTTTGGCTTCCTCATTCCTTCATATATTGAATGAATGAATGAATGAATGAATGAATGAATGAATGAATGAATGAATATTCAAATACTCAGTACTCAAATGGATCTCATCAATTTGGGAGTTCCTTTCAATGATGTAGATCACAAATATACCATCTGGGGTGATTCTTGCCCATATGAAGCTGGCCATAATGGGTCTATCTACTCAATGTATTGGAAAGAAAGGATGAATGAATCCAATTGGGTTGTAAGTCCCAATATACACTATCTTCATTCCCATTAAGGAAAAATCAATGTTATTCCCTTCTTTAATTGGCAGGAAAAATAAAATTCTGAAAGACTAAATAAATGGCAACATAATTCAAAGCTTATCATTGGAAATAGAAATTTGATGCAATTCTTTAATCAAAAGACCTCTTGAATGTCAACAGCTTTACACAATTACCCTATTCTCAGAAACTTGCTCAAGAATAAACCTTTTCTTTCATTAGAAGGTCTATTACTCATGTATAAGTATCCTTTCAGACGATGAAAATGGAAAAGAAGGCATACAAGGCAAATTTTGCTCTCTTGTCCAATCCTCACCTATCTTTGTTCTCATAGTCATAAATATTAATAGCAATACCTTGAATTTTATAACAGTTTTACAATACTCCCCAGGAAGAGAGGTGGTTGCCCACACAATTATCTCTATTGCTCCTTGAGTTAACTTTGAGTTCTATGACTCACACCAAAAAATTATATTTTCATTTTAAGTTGGTAAACTAAAACTGTCATCTCAGCATCATCACCCATTAATGTCATTTTGGGTATAATTATTTAACATTTTTTCTATCCTTTCAATAAACACTTAAAAACTCAAGAAATGAAAATTATGGTATTGACCTAGCTGAGCATCTCTAACATTTTTCCTGACTTGTAAACTTTTAATTAGGCTATTAATGGCAATATTCACCTACTATTTCTCATAAGGATTTATTTTAATAGAGTACAGTAAAAGAAAAAAAATTCTAAAATTGCTGATCTTTCAAATCCTGAAAACAAAAAAAAAAATGATTCTGTAAGTAGCTCCCAAATGCCACTTTGACAGTTTAAAATTCCTAAGAGTTCTCTTCATCAAGCAGAACTCATTATTTATCTTTAAGTCAAGAAGAGATTTTAAAAATATGTCCTAAATTACTTTTTCCATAGTTTAAACCAAATTTACCACTCATTAGAGCCCAAGGACTTGGACAGGGTAAATGGTATAATAGGAATAGAGATAAAAGGTAAATCCATGGAGGAAAAAAAATTGAACGTATTTAATATACCTATTTACCACCAATATTCATATGAATATAATTCAAATATAGATATCGTTATAGTAAAAAAAAAACACCATGCAATTTATCAATTTTGCAGCTACTTTTTCTCAATGATTTTTTTTGTTTTGTTTTTTGACATGGCAATTGGGGTTAAGTGACTTGCCCAGGGTCACACAGATAGTGTCAAGTGTCTAGTCTGAGAATGGAGTTGAACTCAGCTCCTCCTGACTCCAGGGCTGGTGCTCTATCCATTGTGCCACCTAGCTTCTCCCGCCCAAAGATGTTTAAAATGCTTTAGATACTTTAAATAACTCATAATAATAATTAACCAATGTTCATTTGGCACTTTGACATTTATGAAGTCCTTTATACATGTTATTTCATTTGATCCTTATAACAACCCCTGTGAGATATGTCCTAATGTTATCCCCATTTCACAAATAAGGAAACCAAGGCTGAGAAACATGAGGTAACTTGCCCAGGGTCATACAGCTAGCTAGTAAGTATAAGAGGCAGGATTCAAACTTAAGTTTGATTAACTTAAGACTTATCACTCAGTCCACTATACCCCTTCCAATGAATTCATAACTACAATAGCTCTGTTATGTAGTTTACAGATGGTGAAATTGAGGCTTAGAGAGGTCTGTAGGCATATACTACAAAACATATCCCCAACTAGCATAATTTCATAACAATGTCATTAATGCATCTTTACCAAAACTTGGAATAATGTCACAAAGCTCTGCAAATTAAAGGGTCTGAAGTAATTTTAGCTAACTGCTCTTATTACACCCCTTCACCTAGCACAGAGGAACCAATTAAAAATGTTAGCTGGGCTACGCATATAATTGGACAGCCTAAAGTCACAGAACAAATAAGAAAATGTTCCGTATTTCCTAGTTGGATTCTGCTAGTTATAAGAAGAAATTCTTGTGAAATAATACATGAAGATATAAACTCAAAAGAGATATACCATTTTGTAAAATTAATGAAACCAGAAATATACATAAACTCTACTATCCTGAATAAGAAAACAAGTTTTACTTCCGGGAAACTGAATTTTAAAGTCTGGAATTCATTGTCATTTCTTGAGATGAATTTACATTTCAGTTTACAGTGAAAGCTGGTGCCAGAGAATTAATAATTGCTTTTGATAATGAATGTTTTTCTTTATCCTTCCTACTAATGATAAAAATAAATCCTTTTTAATGGGGTTTAAAATGAAGTAATTGGCTGTGTTTAAATTGGTAAGGAAATTAAGCAAACAAAGCCTAGAATATGTGTGTAATTTCATTGTAGTATGACAATGAAAAAACAGAAAAGAACATTTATTCCCAAAGGATTAAAAGAAAATTGAAAGACACCATACTCCATGTTTTCACAAAGCCATTTTTGTAGCAAGAAAGGGAAATTCCCCTAATCGCTTCTTGAGAAAAGATAGAATGGATGTACTGCTTTTCCTAAAAGATACTTAAGAAAAAAATGTCAGTATGGATTATTTATTGCTCAGAATACACTCTAAATATGACAGTGCCATGAGTATTATCCTTAATAATGGATTTAATTCTTATCCCCTTTAGCACTCCCACATATCATCCTTGAATCATACCACTTGAAGTAAACGGGAGCGCCAAGCATATATGTATGCCCTATAGCAAGGATATGATCCCCCAAGTAATAAAAATCCATTATAAATGCTTCCAATAATACTCCAAATTATTACCTTTCTAGATATATCATTTCTATTTATCACTCGAATTTTCACTTAGCTAGGTGAGTTCATTAACATGGTGGAGCAGGCAAAATATAGGACCTAAAGTCAGGTGAATTGGATCTTGATCCCTTTAATCAACTTATTCTGTAGCCTCAGGCAAATTACTCTCTCTCTCTTACTCTCTCTCTCTCTGCTTCAATTGCACCATCTATAATCTGATTTCAGTATCTTGCACCAGACTTCCTCATCGTATGGTATAATACAGTGAATCTCAAAAATGCACTTTAAACTCTTTGAAAGAAGAATAAAGTCAATATTAAATTTTCTATGTTAAAGAGGGTAAGAACATAAAATTCAACAAAATTAAAAAGATACAACTAATACAAGATTTCATTTAAAAGACCAATTTCAACGAATCATCTTCCTCACCAAAATATTCACTTAAGCTATGACCAGAAAGTAAATTTAGCTAGCTTGAAATTTACTACCATCCTGCCCAATCTGTGGTTGCTGTGGTAAAGAATAGGGAAACAAAGGCAAGCAGCAGGAAGGAGGAGAAATCAGAGACTTGAATAATCCACAAATTAAATCATTATTCCCCAAATAATTGGCAGAAATTATTTCAGAAACTTGTGTATTGAGAAGTAATAATCTTGCAGATTTTTCCCCCATAAAAGAATTTATTTTTATGTTGGTCCAAATCATTTAATCTCTCAGCCTCGGTTTCCTCACCTGTAAAATGAGGAAGGTGGCCTAAATTACTTCTAAGGTCCCTTCCCTCTCTAAATCTATGATAATATGAAATTTCTCACTACATGTCACTTTATTCACCAAAAATAAAATGCTACTGATTAAGTTTAATAATTTCCTCTCATAACTTCTCACTGATTCTATACTGGGAAAATAAAATGTATCATGTGCCTGTTACCTGAAACATAACATATAGAAAGTTATGGGGTTAAAAATCTTAATAGTCTTTTTCATTGCTTCTTCTAAATTCTAATATTTATTTATGCATTATGGGTGGTTATCCATTATTCATTTTTAAAAAAATATTTTGGAATTTATTGTGAATGCCATTTTTCCAATACAGAAATGCCCAACATGTTTTAAAAATTAATTCAAAATATTTGGATATCAAACTAGCTAATCTTTATTTGCCATATAACATATGCAAAAGAGACAACACTTATGCAAAAGGGCATGTTATAAAAAAAAGCAAAAGAAAACATTAATATTTTCCCATTTTGTGAATCAATTAAAATATTAACAAATTTTTAAAATTCTAAGAAATGAACATTCATAGGCTAATTTTTAAAAAATATTTTAATATCTTTAGGAAAAACAAGAATTTTGTTAGACTCACCAGACAGAGTATTTTGATTGGTAAATTGCATAAGCCCTCCATTTTAGTGATTGTGTTGTTGGCCAAGCTAAGATGAGTTAGACTTCTACAATTCTCTAGTCCTTTGATATTTTTTATTTCATTATCTATACACCAAGGGCTGTATTTAAGGAAAATATTGTTTAAAGCCTTATATTTATAAGAAAAGAAAGTCAATGTTAAGTTACCATCATAGGAACCATTTAATATTTTAAAATTTCTAAATAAAGCAAGAGACAATAGAGAATGTACGAATTCTATGCAAAGTATATTTTAAACAGTGAATAAATAGTACTACCATTTAGTAGAATGCAGGTTTTGAATGCTCAGCTATATTTACATTAGAATGTGATTTGTTTAATCAAAAGGGAAAGAAATATCATAATACCACATTGCTGCCTTCCTGGCAATGGATTTTCCCTTGGTTAATTTAATAGTTTATTTGAGCATGTTATGTGCTTTTCCACAGAACCTCTGCGCTCAGGAGAGGTCTCACCCTGCAGCTTGCCCCTAGATTAGCTTAGTTACAACTGGCACAGAAGGTGACTCTTTTCGTCTTGTCTTCAATCTTGAAGGGGAAGCAAGAAATTTTTCCCACTTTTGTATCCTCTGAAGAAGTATGAAAAGATAGATGATCCAAAATGCCAACTTCCTATTAAGGAACAATCCAACTTCCCCTTTGACTGGCACCTTTCTTTGCCTTTACCTTCAAAAGTACTCAGGTCTTTTTTTATTCCAAAAACAAAAACAAAACCTTCATTTGAGCCTGTTGTCCCCAACCCCGATACAATCTTAATTTCTAGCCTCCCTTACTTTCCTATTAAACTTCTCAAAGAAGTGGTCCCTATCCATTGACTCCATTTCCTCATCACTCATCACCTCTCTAACTTCCTGCAATCTATTTATTCCTCCTTTCTATCATTTATTGAAACTGCTCACTAGGAGATCACCTATTCAAGTCCAGTTGCCTTTTCTCTTTGACCTTGATCTCTCTTTAGCACATTTCAGTTTTAACTATCCATGCCTTAAAACTCTCCATCCTCTGTGCCTTGTACTTTCCTCATTAGCCCCTTACCTCTCTGAGAGCTCTTGTGTCTTCTTGGCTGCATCTTCTTTCTCCATCTGCTCTCTAACTGTAAGTGTATCTAAGTCTACCTCCCATTATTTATTGTAAATTCAACATTTTTCGAAGTGAGTTTGTCTTTTCCTCTTCCCCAAACCAGCTATTCCTCCCAAACTTCCTGTTTCTATTTTCTCAGTTACCTAAATTCTAAGCATTACAGTCATCTAAAACACCTAAAACAACACTCAGTTCAAGTTACTCCAAAAGTTCCAATGCCTTTAAGCATTTAAGGTCCCAGCTCCTTAGCCTGGCAAGGAAGGTATTCTACAATCTGCCTCATCCCATTACTCCACAACAGAAATTTTCCATTTCTAAATAGGTACACTAATGCATTGTTGGTGTAGTTGTGAACTGGGCCAACTATTCTGGAAAGCAATTTGGAATTAAGCCCAAAGGCCTATAAAACTGTGTATACCTTTTGACTCAGCAAAACTACTACTAGATCTGTATCCCAAAAAGGTCAAAGAAAGAGGAAAAGGATCTGTATGTACAAAAATATTTGCAGCCACTCTTTTTTTTGTTATGGCAAAGAACTGAGGGCATACCCATCAATTGGGGAATATCTAAACAAGTTGTGGTATATGTGATTGTGATGGCATACCATTGCACTATAAGAAATTATGAGGGGTGGTTTTAGAAAAATCTGGGAAGATTTATATGAACTGATATAAAGGGAAGCAAGCAGAAAAGGAGTTCATTGTACATAATAACATCAATATTGTAATGATGATCAACTGAGAAAGACTAAGATACTCTGATCAATACAATGAGACAGTTCTGAAGGACTCATGATGAAAAATGCTATCCACCTCTAGAGAGAGAACTAATGAACTCTGAATGCAAATTGAAGCATACTTTCTTCACTTTAAAATTTTTTCTTTTTTTTTTTTTGCAACATGGTTAATATGAAAATATTTTTGCATGACTTCGTATATATAATTGATATCATATTGCTTGCCTTCTCAATGGGTAGGGGGAGAACTAGAGGGAGGGAGAGAATTTAGAACTCAAATTTAAAAAAAAAGAATATTAAATATAAATAGATTTTTTAAAAAAAGACATTTTCCATTCTGGCTACGCTGGCCTCAAATTCATTAAACATTTATCAAGTACCTTCTATATGCAGACTAATTTGCTAGGCTATAGAGGATGTATCAGTTTTAGGTAAGACATAGTCCTTGATTTCATAAAAATTATAGCATGTCACAAACATAGGTGACCATAACACACAGTATTGCACAGTAAGTTCATTAGAGAGATACAAAACATAAAGCAGTTCATTTTACTTGGAGTATAGAGTAAAAGAAGGAGAGAGGGCTAATGTGGGATAAGGCTGGAAAAGGTAAGGCACACCAGATTGCAAAGGGTGAGGGAGGCTGAACTTCACATGGGGAGAAATAAGGAGCAACCTGAGAATTTCGAGCAAAGGAGTAACATAAACCAGACCTATGCATATGGAAGACTAACCTGATAGTGATATAAAGGATTAGTTAAAGGGGTGTGAAGCAGGGTTAGAGAATCTATTGCTGAGTCATTTCAATCACGTCTGACTCTTCGTGACGCCATTTGGGGTTTTCTTGGCAAAGATACTGGACTGGTTTGCCATTTCCTTATTCAATTCATTTTACAGATGAGGAAACGGAGGTAAACAGGGTTAAGTGACTTGCCCAGGGTCACACAGCTACTAAGTGTCTAAGGCTAGATTTGAACTCACAAAGATGAATCTTCCTGACTCCAGGCCCAGCATTCTATCTACTGCACCACAGTTAGAAGGATTTCACATTATTAGTTCAGGTAGGTAGTGACTAGAGACTATACAAGTTTGATGATAAAAGGCACTGCAGCAATAGAATTGTTTGAATCCATATTTTCACATATAAGATTAACTTAAAATTTGCACATATGTAAGTGAATTTGTACTCTAGAAACCAAGAAATCACAGTTAGTTCAAAACATAGCTTCCAATCCTGTAGCTGAAACAAAAATAAATAAATAAACATCAGGATTATGATTCACAGTTTTCCTAATAATATTATTTTCATAGAGAAAAAAACATGCCTTCTTTCAATATTTTATTTTTTAAATGTTTTAATAAGCTGAAATGTCATTACTGTATCTTCAGGAAAAATTTTGTTGAGTACCACTGTATCACAAAGATATATAAAAAATTAGCAAATTTGATAAATCTCTTATCAAAAATATTCCTTTTATCCATTCCAAAGGATACTATCCAGTATTAGTTTACTGAGCCCTGGATATGCATGCAAATCATTCATTTCCGGGATTTTGTTGTATGAAAAATCCACCTTCTGAAAAAAAAAAGACAGACTAATTTGCCATAAGCTGCTTATCCTTCCATCTTTTTACAATAGCATAGCATAAGAAAAAGATGTTTACATAAAGAATGAATAGGAATGATTTTATTTAGGTTTAATGATTTACAAATGTAAATTTTGTTAATGCTTATTAATATTAAAAGGCAAACTTAAAAATAAATTTTATTAATGAAAAAATCCTTGATACTAAAACTTTATAAACACCTCATAAATCACCCCTTTCTCTTTCATCTTTTGACTAGTCCAAGGAACATGTAATTTCCATGGAGTTCTGACCACTGACGTAGGCGATCTTATAACATACACACAACCAAATCAAATTCCTCCATTGGCCACTTCAGTATTTGAAATTCATATTAAATTTTTGTATTCATCCTTCAGGAAACTCCTTCATTCTGTCCCTACTTAGCATCATTTATCTCATTTTCTCTGGATGTCAATCCTTTTAATGTATATGAATATCTTGATTTTCTTCGTCTCTGCCCCTTTCTATCTCTGTCTCAATTAACTTGTCCATGTATTAAAGATGAGAAGAATCTGGCTTTATCAATTCCTTAAGTTACATCCCTTTCACTTTATGACCTTTCTCAAAACTATTTCAAGAAAAGTCTTTTCTAGACTATGTATTCATTCTCAACTAAATGGCAAATGATTGACTAGAAGACACTACCTAATGCTCAGAGACTTCATTTCTCCTTAATTTCTATCCTTGATTCTTTTATCCTCTATGTCCATGTGTCTATTCAGCACGTGTATTAAATGTATGGTAGTCAAAGACCATGGTTAAGTTTATATCCTCAAGTATATTTGGCACAGAGATTTTCAGGGGTAATAGTAAAGCACACTGATATGCATTGTAGCCTAGCTGCAATCCTTATAAAGCCTAGTGCCAGAAGAAAGTAATCCATCAAATACAAATCAACAAGTATTTACAGAGTACCTACTAGGTACATGCAAGACACCATGCTAGGCACTTTCGGGGGTACAAAGAAGTGTAAGATACAGTTTGTAATCTCAAGAAACATGTAGTTGAGAAAGTTAAATATGAAGAAAGGAGGGCATACCAGGCAGGTGGAATCAGGGGAACAGCAGGGTGATTAAGGACCATATGGATAACGGCCTAGCCACTCTTGGGGGCAGGGGGACCTCTGTAGGGTCCCATGTTTGCAATCTTGCTAATTTCCCTAAGATTTGAGGACTTCAAGGTGCCAGGAGAAGAACTGAATGTTTGAGAAGAAGACATTAGGATGTGTACCTCCAGGAGTATGTGATTCTAAGGAGGCTTCCCAAGGGGTGAAGGACATATTTCAGGATGAAAAAAGCTCTGCCGGGGTCTGGGAGACCTGGCAATGGTGTCAACAATGGAGACTACAAACTGCCTAGTCAGTGTGACTCCTGAGTGGCCTCCCCAGAGGGCCCAATGGTTCCGTAGAGGAACATAAGGTGGCTTATGGCTATAGGAGAACAACAATATGATGCACTCCTCTTACAAAAAAAATAAAGAAAAAATAACAAGACTGATAATAATGGAGTGATTACCAAGCAAGAAGGAGGAAATCGATAAGAGTGCTATTCTGCCACGACACTGTAATATAAATGAATGAATGCTGTGGCAGAATGAATTTGAAATAGATTTCCATGTTTCTGCAAGTCTTATTAAAGAACTTTAGATCTAAAACTTAGATTTAATTTGTTTTACAAATAAAATGTAACCTCAGGAAATAGAATTTATATCCATTTCACACAAATATGAATTCACATAAATGATTAGCCATACAAAGTTTAAAAGCACAGAAGCATTTTTTCATTAAGAAATGGAGTCATGTGACAGAATGCTAATCATACAATCTCCAGTATATCAAGTTATTTTATAAGACGCCTAGTACGTTCTTTGCTTTAGGGATGCAAAAGTACATTTAGACACAGATTTGAAATTTTTCTGTAATAATAATAGCTAACATCTATATAATGCTTTATGGTATATACATTACTTTGCATATATTATCCCATTTGTTTACATAAATTTATATGAAAATTTATGTAAAAGTAAGTCAATACTAATTTTAAAACTTGAGTTACATAAAGAGGGCAAGTTTGGAACTATGAGGAAAATTTCTATGCTAAATAGGTTTTCCAGAATTCAATGCTGATATACAATTGTTTCTGTTCTGATTTAAAAATATGTAATAATAATTATTGAATTTCAGAGAAAGGATGAACTTTTTTTTTTCAGGAGTGCCTTAAGTCATCCTTTTTAGCAGACTTTTCTAAAAAAACTACCAATTGGCAGGCTAGCCTATATCTTTATTTCTTCAAACTAAATGAAATACATAATATCCCACTTTCTCCTCTTACTTCAAAGGCTAATGGCTGTATTATCCACCTTGACTCACCCTTATAAATATGTAAAGGCTGAACATGATCAGTTGCTCCAAAAACTTTCATTTCCTCTCCACTAAAATCTGAATCTCTCAAAGTAAATTTCTCATGTCTCTTCAGCATTGTTTTACCTGTTAACTTTGGTATATAAGTCTACTAGGGCATTTAATACATTTGCTTAGCACAGTTATAAATACTACCTTGAGATTCTTAGGTGGCTTGAAACCGAAGAAAGTAGTCAACTCATTGTGAGAAGCATTGAGTTCTATGAGATAAGGCATGTGACTAACACAGCTCAGATCTAAGAAGGGGAGAGAGAACACAGAATAAGCTAAACCAATGAAATAAGCAAAATTAGGCAAAAGCAATTAACAACAATATACATTACAACGAAAACATTTTCAAAAAATAATTTAATTGCAAGCAGCCAGACTTTTGCTAATGATGCTCTGCCCCCCAAAACACAAATAATTCAAATATATGTTTAAAAATGTAAATATTTCACACAAGCCAATACTCTCAACCTTCTCCTCCATCTACCCATTGACCAGAACAACTAAAAATAGCAAATGGATTGTTTTAGGTTTCACCTTCTTCCTTAAACCAGTTCAATAATGCACAGACGTGTTAACAAGGAGTGATTTACCACTTGTACAGAGCAGCAGGAGGAAGATGGATGTGAAGCAACATTCCTGGCTATTTTACCAAATAACCAAACTTTAAACAATTGAGTTAGGTGACTATAGAAAGAATAGAAATTAATGTAACCTCTGCATTTTAAGTAAATTTTGTTTATAAATACCTGAAAATTAATCACCAAGCCCTAAATCATATGAATTTTACAAGTTCACTTCAATAAATTCTATAATTTTACTTCAGTTTCTATTTTGTTAAAATATTCACCTAACCTTTATATTTGCTCATAAGCCAACATTTTGTACCTTAATTCCAAAGGGAGAAAGACTATATTTTATCCACTAGAGTCATATATGACTTTAAAAATAAAGTATAAAATTTGCTCATGAGAACATTCTCATCTTCATATATAACACAAAATTTAAATTGATTCAACATCACTGGCAAATGATATAGTGGAAAAAACAACAACAGTGGGAGTCCAATGATGTGTAGTCTAATCCTGGCTCAACCAGGCATGGTTATATGCTCCAATTTCCTCACATGGGTTCATGATCAGTCAGTCTACAAGCTCTTACTATTATTTATCATAGGATTTAGAACTTAAAAAAGAAACCTGGGAGATCACCAAATTCAAGGCCCCTGTTTTACAAAGCAACAGAGCAACAGAGACCCAAGTACCTCCTCCTCTTCTTCCTCCTACTCTCTCCTCATCATTATCATTACTGTTATTATTGTCATCATTATTAATGCCTTGGCAAGGAGAAAGGTTACTTCATTATGTGAGATAGGGATGAAAAAGGAGAGAGTAGCAGAAGACAAGAGAGTGATATGAGATGAGGAAGAAAGGAGAAGAAGAAACTCTTGGCAAATGGCCTCAATGTTTTCAGTAAAATATGATTTAAAGAGGGGGGCGGAGCCAAGATGGCAGAGGGAAAGCAGTGACTGCCTTGAGCTCTCTCCCAAAACCCTCCAAATACCTAAAAAAATGGCTCTAAACAAATTCGAAAGCAGCAGAACCCACAAAAAGACGGAGTGAAACAAATATCCAGCCAAAGACAGCCTGGATGGTTGATCAGAAAGGTATATCGCGCTGGGCGGGGAGAGGAACGCAGTTTGGTGTGGGTGCGTAGGCCGCAGTGACCCTGGAGCAGGCCTCACAGGGCTGAATCATGGGCAGCCATGGCAGTTTCCAGACTTCTCAACCCCTGAACGCTAAAGACAACTTAGAAGGTCAGTGGGAAAAGTCTGTGACTGCGGTGGGAGAGGAGCTAGGTTTCAGCCGCAAGTCTCGAGCACAGCCCGGGGCCATGGCTTTTTCCTGAGCTTCAGGCCCACAGACTTGAGGGGGCATTGAGTGGCTGATCAGAGGGGATTGCAGGGATCTCTTTGTCAGTGCTGAGGCAGGAATCTCTTGCTGTGCCCATGCTTGGATCTGGGTCACAGTTCTGAGGGGCGGTCCTGGGGCAAAGAGCACTGGTGTGGTGGAGCTTATTGTGGCAGTGGAGAGGAAACACCAAGCCCCTTATCATACTCCCTTGGAAAAACTGAAAATTTACAGGTCCCTAGAATTACCTCTGAAAACAGCTATACAAATCCCTGAAGCTTGGGACAGTACACTCTTCACGTTAGAAGCAGACTTTTACCTTAACAAAGAGTTAAGAACTCAAATAATTGGCCGGGATCATGAGTAAGCAGCACAAAAAGAGTCAGACTATATTATTTTACTTTGGTGACAAAGAAGATCAAAACATACAACCAGAAGAAGACAACAAAGCCAAAGCTCCTACATCCAAAGCCTCATGGCTTTCAGATAGTCCAATAATTTTTAAATTCTCTCTCCTGGATCTATTTTCCAGGTCAGTTGTTTTTCCAATGAGATATTTCACATTGTTTTCTAATTTTTCATTCTTTTGGATTTGTTTTACAGTGTCTTGATTTCTCATAAAGTCTCATAGGATTTGACTTAAGGAGGGAATAACATACACACTCAATTGGGTGTGGAAATCTGTCTTAACCTACAGGAAAATAGGGGGGAAAGGGACAAGAGAATAGGGGGATGATAGAGAGGAGGGCAGATTGGGAAAGGGAAAAATCAGAAGCAAATACTTCTGAGGAAGGACAGGGTCAAAAGAAAGAATAGAATAAATGGGGGGGCAGGATAGGATTAAGGGAAATAGTTTTTCATAGCATGTCTACTATGGAAGTGTTTTGCATAACTGCACATATATAACCTATATTTAGTTGCTTGCCTTATCAATGAGGGTGGGTGGGGAGGGAGGAAGGGAGAAAATTTGGAACCCAAAGTTTTAAAAACATATGTTTTAAAGAAATGTTTTCCCATGCAACTGGGAAATGGGGTACAGAATTCCATCCTGCCCTACAGGAAAATTGAAGGGGAAGGGGATAAGAGAAGGGGGATAGAGATACAAGGGAAGGCAGACTAGGGGAAGGGGTATTTAGAATGCATGCCATCTTGGGGTGGGGGGAGGGGAGAGATGGGGCAAAAATTTGGAACTCAAAATCTTGTGGAAGTAAATGTTGAAAACAAAAAAAAATTGATAAAAATAACCATTAAAAATATGATTAAAAAAAAAAGGAGATCTGGTCTCTGCGCCCAGCTCTCCTATTTTATGGCTGTGTAACCATGGACACATCACTGGATCTCTCTGAGTCTTAGTTTTATAAACTGCAAAAATTCAAGTGTCTTCATTTCAGTGATTACTATATTGTTATATGCTCTAAGTTCTGTGAATCTTAATGGTTCCCAGATCAAAAAAGATAAACCAATTCTGATGTACAAAATTTGGTAAAGGAAAAAAATTTCTAGTGGTTCTGTGAACCTGGGCAAGTTAGCAAACCTCTACAGTACTGTTTCTCCATCTATAAACTGAAAAGATTGTGCTACATACTGTCTAAGTTTCCTTCTAGTTCTAAATCTATGATCCTATTACTTCACTGACTGCACAAACATTTCTCACCTCTATGTGCATACCAAATTCCATTGACCCGTTAAAAAAAAATTCAGAAGCTGTCGCTGCTTGAAAACATTTATTATTATTTTGTTTCCAAGTTAAAAAATGAAGCACCAATTTCAAGGTATTTCCTGATATTATAATAATAGAGCATATGTCATTAAAATCTCTTCAGATGCTTTTTAAAGAACACAAGATATGCCCATCAGAAGACTTATATTGGCTATTATTTTGTTTCAAAATGGTAGACTGAACCATAAAATTATACCTTGCTACTCCTTACTAATATGAATGAATAAATGAGTGAACAAATGTAGCATTTATTAATTGCTTACAATGAGCAAGGTTCTGTGCTTAGGCATTGTGGATACAGTAGAACAATGAGGAAGTCGATGCTGTCAACATTCTAATGAGGGAGACAACACATATGGAGATTTTCAATTGCAAGTCAGATAGAAAGGTCCTATGGTCTTTAGAGTGCAGTTGACTATGTGCCAAATTTGGTTAAAATCTGTTTGTTCCTTCACAAGTTATTGTGGAACAAAATATACAAATGTGAGGTCATCTATAATATGTTCTCATTAAAATGTTCTCCCCCCCCAAATAAAAGTAAACCTTAAGGAAAAATCCAAAAGAAGTCAGAGAGATTATTATTTTTTTTTTTGGCGAGGTATCAGGGTTAAGTGACTTGCCCAGGGTCACACAGCTAGTAAATGTCAAGTGTCTGAGGCTGGATTTGAACTCAGGTCTGACTCCAAGGCCAGAGCTCTATCTATTGCACCACCTAACTGCCCCAAAGAGATTCTTAACCAATGAAAAGAAAGAGCTTGTTTTATTCATGGGAAAACAATAGAAGTCAGGAAAAGAGCCTGAGAAAACAAATAAGCCAAAAAAGAGAAAGATGCAAATTTTCCATCATCAAAGTAAGAAATAGTGAAGGAACTAGGTTGTTGCTCCTCATGACAAAAAGGTGAGAGGCATCTATTAGCAGATAAACACAGCCCCATAGTCAAGAAGACCAGCATTTAGGTCCTACCTCAGACAATGTGAGCATGCATAGTCATTTAACCTTTGTGCCCTAGTCAACATTCTAAAATTATTTATCACTAGAGAGCTGCTGATTTGTATCAGTGAACTGAGTTCTATTCCAAGAGTATCCCACCCCAATGAAATCAAAGGTCTAGACAAGAATGAATAATATCCACGTTAGTGCTACTGGGGAGAAAGGCCTCTGTTGAAGTCCTACACCAATGCCTTATAGGAGTCCTTGAAGTTTATATCATCAGAGTACCATCTCTAAAGATCCCACAAAGCTAGAGAGGTGTCAGGTATGGCCCAGGGGAGGAATGTACATCTTTCATCCAAAGACAAGCCTCGCTAACATCTTCGAGGCTCCTTGCCAGGTTGGTGGTATGATGATATTTCTAGTAACAGCAACTCATGAAGAGAGTAGTCATCAATGATATGTATTGATGGAGCATAGAATCACAGAATTTGAGAGTTGGAAGGGGGATTTCAGAAGCTACCTAGCCCAAGCCATACAAATATTAGAAAGAAAAAACAACAGCAATGCTTTATCTCTTAAAGAAGACAAGAAACACATAGAATGTACTGGATAGTAGAATTAGTGACCAAGATCAAAAAGAAAGGGCTTAGGTGTAGGGGTGGAGAAGGAGGAGGAGGAGGAGGAGGAAGAAGAAGCACTTAAAGATTACTTTAATAAAATGGAAAGGGTAGCACAATGTGCTAAGTGTACACAATATACATACATACATGAAAGACAGAAAAGGAAAAAAAGAAAAGTTCAAGATGGAGTTGAAAAAATAACAATGAACAGGGAAGGGAGTAATTTACACATACACAAAAAAATTGAGTTTCTAGTGTTCCAATAATAAGATTAGATACAGTCATCCAGGAAGAAGATGGAGATATGAAAGAACAAATTAAGACAGAGACCCACTAAGGATAAAGGAAACATAAAAGGAATGTATAATCTTCATTGAAGATTAGAAAAAAGTAGGAAAGGAAAACAAAATGCTTAAACCCTAGGGCATAATCAACTTCATAAAAGGAGATAATGCTTCAAAAATTTCACCTGAATCTCTGATAACTGAGTAAATATAATTCTACAATATCACAAATATACCATGGCATTATCCTTTTTGTAGATTTGTGCCTTTTTCTTTTGGTTTGAGGGCAGAGAAACCATATGGTAACTGATTCATGCCATTACTAAAATGATTTTTTATGGTATTAACTACATATTACATCAAACCATTTTAATTCTCTATAGCTCAGTGGTCTAGGCAGGAATTTACTAGAATAATTGTTACATACCATTAATTTTATTGTGTGACAGTTCCAAGTTCTCTAGGTGAGAATATCCACAAAGAATGGAAACATCTATTAAGTCAGAGTTCTGAGGGGAAAAAGTAAAAAAGACTTTAATATCATTTTAGTATGGCAGTCTCCTTAGAATACAAGGGAACAAGAGATGGCATAAATCAATCGGGTATACCCTTCAGGTGGATGTTGAAAGTTAGACACCAAACTCTAACAAGAAATAAAATGTGTATTTAAGATGCTACCAATGAGACCCTCAAAAGAAGAAAAGCAACATTCAAATAAAAAATTTACAATAAATGTGAAGAAAATGATTGCTAACTAAATTAGAATAAAAATGGTGAAGAGTTGCGGCCAAAGAAGTCATTTGTTTCTAGTGAAGACAGCTAAAGCAATTGCATATTAGGCAACTTCTTAGCATAAAACAAATGTAAGAAATAAGCTAGAATAATAATACATAATAAGCCAGAAATTAGAGTAATGAAAATGATAAAACACAAGTCCTACACAACTCTACCCCAATCTAGCTTTCATTGGCTCTGCACATGAAACCCCACCTCCTGTATCAGGACTTCACTGGCTGTCTGACATGCCTGGAATGCATTCACTCCTGACCTCAGAGGCCCTTCTCTTTCCTTCAAGATGCAACTTAGGCACCATCTTCTTTCTGCAGGAAAGGCTTTCCTGACCCCACTCCCTGCAAATACTATTGCCTTCCTAAATTTTTTGGTATTTAACTGCTTTATTGTATCCGTATGTATTATCTTTATGCTTATGCTACATATGTTTTTTAATGTGTTTGCTGAATTTCCCCATTAGAATCTAAGGTCAGTAGGGGTAAGGATAGTTTCATTCTTATTACTAATATCCCTAGTACCTAGCACATTGCCTGGCACATAGTAGGTGCATGTGAATTATTTGTTGATTGATTTTATGCCTAACCAACATGCAACTAGTAACACTGCATGATATTTATACAGTGTTACTTTTAAAGCACTTTCACATGTACTGTTTCATTTGATCCAATAATTCTATGAGCTTCTAATTCTATCTAATTCTAATACTACAGTGTAGAAGAAAGAGCCCTGACCCAGGCTAGAGAACTGGCTTTTCACTCTGCCACAAACTCATTGTGTGATGTTGGGTAAATCATTTAATCTCACTGGGCCTTAGCTTCCTCATTTATAAAAGAAGAGCACTGAAGCTTTAAGCTGTCTTCCAGTTCTCAGAACCTATGACTGATACCTTTTGTACTTCCAAGAGGTATGAGAGAGGACTACTTAGAAAAGACAAGGGAATCTGGGGTCCTTGATATAATGGCAGATATGGCCAGAGAAATAAAACTAGCTAGGAGGCATTAACCAGAATGATCAAATATAAATAAAAGAATGCTGAGAAGGCACCTCTCCCATCCCCACCCCCCCACTGCCATGCAGAGGTGGGAGGTCCATGAGTATAGTACATTGCACATATTGTAAGTTGTCTGAGGGCAAGGACTGTCTTTTGCCTTTTTTTTTGTATCCCCAGCACTTAGCACAGTGCCTAGCACAGAGTAGGCAAATGTTGACTGATTAATTAATATTATCAGACTTTTGTGATGTGTTGGTCAATTTTGATCATTTTGTCTCTTCTTTTCCTTGAAAAACATTATTTTTATATGGGATGGTCTTCTGGGGGAGGAGGAAATTTTGCTGATATAAAAATACATCAATAAAAGTTTATTTTTTTAAAAAAAGAATGTTTATTAAAAGGGGATAGAACAGCTGAAAATGAGATCCATTAAAGAAGTCAAACATGGAAAAGAGAAAATACTAAGACAAAATTAGTCCTATAGTCCCCAATATGAAAGAAATTTAGTGGCAAAATAAGTTTTATCTAGCTAAAATAAGATAGAAAGGATTGTTGTTTTTTACAGACTAATTTAAGATAGAGAGAAGTAGAATATTGATTGAAAGGGGTTTGAATGAGAATATAATAGCTTCTAAAATTCTTATCCCCATACCTATATCTAGTGCTATGTGCACATAGCAGGATCAATACATGTTGATCGTTTCATTTAAAAATTTTTTTAAAGTAATAATTATAATACACGCAAGCCTTGGTATGATGCTGTCATCAAAGGACAGGCCATGAGATTGACTTATAGGTGAATCTGCCTTTTAATGTTGCACTAAGTCTCCTAAAATAAGGTCTAAGATGGAATAACCTTATAATGAACTCCACTGTGTAAGAGAATCATAGTGCACATACATTGTTCAGAAAATAAAGTATCCTGGGATTTATAACTATAAGAAACCTTAGAAGTCATACGCTTCAACTTTATTTTACAGATTAGTAAACTAAGACCCAGAACCCAGAGAAGTCTTGAGACAGCCAGAGAGGCAGAACTGGGCTTTTTTTTTTTTTTTTTTTTTTTTTTTTTGTGAGGCTGGGTAGCCCTATCTTGCCCAGCCTGGAAATACAGTCACCAATACCAGTACGGATCAGCATAAAGCTTCCACTTGTTCCTATTTTTTCCAACTTGGCCTGGTTAGTCCCTTCTTACACCATCTGGTGGCCTCCTGGTTCCAGGGGTCTATCTTATTGGTACCAGACTTTTAATCCACTTTAGCCTCACTACGGCTTGAAACTCCTGAACTCAAGCAAACTAACAGCCTTAGCCTACCCAGTAAATAGGGATCACGGGTATGTTCCACCATACCCAGCCAAAACTGGGATTTGAACTCAAATTGCTCGCTAAATTCAATGCTTTTTCCACTAAGCCATACTGATTCTATTTTAAAGTGGTGTTTTGTTTTGTTTTTTAACATTTTATGACATTCTGAAAGAAAAAGTTAAAATATTTTTTTCCAGGATATTAACTTAATTTGAAATGAAACTAAAGCTTGAAGTATTCTGATTATTTTTCATTTATCATTTTATATTAGATCAAATTCTGTTATTAATTTTAAATATGAATGATATTCAGAAGCTAAAAATTTCTAAATAACAAAAAAATCTTTACAAACCTGTATTTTTGCAGCATTTTCTCTGGAAAGGTAGATTACCTTGACACACATAGAAATAAACCAACTGGATACAAAATATTTATTTTAATTTGGATTCAGAGAGAAATTTTGGACATAGAATCATTGTATTTTTGAGTTGTAATTATGTCACACTTCTGTTGGCCTATTACTGTTGGTGAAAGTCATACCCATGTTGCTATACCATCACCAGGTTCCAATTTGGGAAGCAAGTGATATGATATCAGATCGTCTGCCTAACCTAACTGAATTGTATCAGCTGAAGTTTCTCTCAGTTTGCAGCCCTGAGAAAAGGGTGCTCCAGAGGGATTGGGCTTGCATTAATACTTATCACGAAAAGACATAAACGTGAGAGCAATAATAATAAAGGAACTCGGGGGCTTGATAACCAAACATGGTAGAGAGTCTCCAAAATCTGGCTTTGAGTAGCTGTTAAACATCGATTTCCACCCAAAAGAAACGGTTTGGACCTTGGTGTGGTTTCTAGTCATCCCCAAATTAATGAACATCAGAGAAAACTTAAGAAACTAATAGGTTTAGTATACTGGGTGTATACACACCGACAATCACTGGCACTGTTCTACTCACTGGTAATGATAGGTTGAGGTAGACTTGCTCAGTTCCAGGACCTGAGCGGCCCAATTTACAGAGTGCTTCGGCCACTGCTTCTTCTCTGAGGACTCCATCAAACTCATTCTGAAAAATAAGTAAATAAACAAGGAAGCCTGAAAGATAAACATGTATTATGAAAGGAAATAGCACTCTCCTAGATATGCCTAGCGCCTATGTTACATGCCCCATAGTAAGTACCAAAACTGTACCAGCCCACAAGAAAATTTTGTCGTTTCTTCTTACTTGAAGGCACGTAAATACAGTGTGCAGTTCATGTAGACTAATGAAATGACTATCTTGACTACCATAGAATTTGCAGATAGTGACTGGCTTCAAACGTGAATGCATAGTTACATCTAAATAAGAACACACGTCTCTGATGTTCGTGCTGAAGAAAACAGGTTCTAAAGTATGTATTTCACTGGCTTCTTCCTCTAGAATCAAATGTATTGCACCCATTTCCAAAAAAATTATTAGATTGGGACATGCTTCAATTAAAAGATAGTACAGTGGCCCCAAAGTGTCATGGACCAGCATATGCCAACTATTACCTAATCGCTGCTCCTGGAGATTGCAGTTAAGCCTGTCCTGTAGCAATGCAGTATCTAGTAAGATGTCAGAATCTTATATTGTGTGCCAGCGCAATATAAATATGTCCCCTACAATTTACCAGGACCAAAACCACTACCCATCTCTAGGTTATTGACTTCAACCTAGAAAAATCTTGATCTTTTCCACTTAACCTACTAAACTCCTGCTGACCAAGTTATCTGCTCCAGTACTGGAGTAACATTTAGGCTTATGCTACAGCAAGATTTACCTTTTCCACAAAGCCTCCCAACAATCTTATAAGAGGACCAAAAATTTTCATGCTTTTATTCTTCCCCACCCATACCACTTAACCTATGGCATCTACAATCTGTATTTTTTATGTTTTTGAGTCAATTAGTGGACGAGAAAGCAAAGATTGGGGAAGAGAGATAGTAGAAATAAATTGACCCAACACAATATCAAATTCAATTCAATTTAGCAAAACTTTAAGTTTCTGCTGAATGGAGAGTGCCTGTGGTAGGCACTGAGGGTTAAGTGCCATGTTTGTTAAAAGGAAAATGCTTAACTTTAAAACTCCTAAAGTCTTCTAATACTTTCTAGACCCTGAGGAATGAAATTATTACATGATCATTATCACCTTCATCATCCCATTACTCTTAATAATGAGGTTAAAGTTTGGGGGGGGGTAATTGACCCAAAAGCCCAAGGGCTTCTCTTTTAATTTTTTTATTCAGAAATGTAAATATATTCCTTCTTCAGCTTTGAAATAACATAAAAATAAAATTTAAAATTACAGAATATTTATAACTTGATCAGATTTATACCGGAATCAGGATAGCAAAGAAATCTCTACACACAAACCAAATCATTCAAAAATGAATATCAAGTGAAAGTCAAACTCTTTCTTCTGTTTGTTAATAGCATACAGAAGACAGATTAACAATGATTCTAATGAACCCCATAGAGGAAAAGCAGATGTTAATTAGAAGAATAATAAAGTAAACTGGTGATTCATTTGTGAATTCCTTTGGGGTGGACCCTGATGGAAACCACACAAACATCTTAAACGTGCAAAACAATGTGGCAGTTTTGTAGATATCACATTTAAGAACAGTGAGAATCACAAAGAAAAAGAGAGGGTGGAAAAAAGTTACTAATCTACAGTACTGACTTCAAATACAGTGGCAGATAGAAAGGAGGACAGAAAAAGTGCATGTGCGTGTGTGGTGGGGGCCATCCTTGAATAAATGCAAAAGGGAACTGTGCAAATTAGCTGAAATACAGTAAAGGGGGGGACTAAAGTTTAGGTTATTGGAGTAAAATGGGGTGATGGCAAAAGGGGATAATGAAAGCAGGAATGTTAGTAGTAAGAATGGAGAAAGAAATAGAAAAACAAAATAATGCAGCAGAAGGCAACAAAAAGTTTCATGAGAGTAGGGACAGGATTAAGGGAATAAGATTTCTTGGGGGTTTGTGATAGAGGAGAAACAATGCATCTGTTAAAGATAAAGGGGTACAGAGAGGGAAAACTGAAGAGAAGGAAATGAAGCAATGGGGTACCACTGGGATTCTTCTGGAGTAGGCTGGAGAACCACTGGTTGGGAATGTTGTAGGGAAACACCTGTTCAGATATGACCTCTGAGATCTTGTGAAAGTTTTGTGATAGAAAGCTAAGGACAAGAGGACAATTTTAAAAGGGATTGAGAGTTAGCAAGAGAAATAGAGCCACATGGGAATGGGTGGTGGTTAAAAGGGAGAGGATTTGAAAGAATGTTAAAAGTAGGACTCATCTTGTAGTAGCCTTACAGTAAACAGCAATGTGATTCCCTTAAGGACCCTTTGGACTCACAGAAACACCTTATCCATGGAGCAAGCAAGATACATGAAAATTCCTTTGCTGAAAGTTAAAATATAAGAGTGAAGCCTTATCAGCCATTTACACTCTAATATAAATGGCCCTGTTCCCTACTTTTCCAGAAAGCAAGGAGTTTTTGTTTTGTTTTGTTTTTAACATGTAACAGAGGAAGAAAAGGAACCCCGCAAACCACTAAGAGTTCAGGTGGAATTCAAAGCGGAGGGCAAGGGTAGAGAAGTAGGGATGTCAAAGACAAAATATATTCCAGTTTTTGGTCTGGCTGGCCTAAGTGAAAGAAATAAGGCAGGAGGAAATAGTGGTAAAGAGCAAGGAGAATTGAGAAACATAGAGTGCCTTGGTGTTGACTGGGAAGGTGTCACAGAAGTGCCCATCTAAGTCAGAAGAGGAGGCCTAAGGCCCAGGATCCCTAGGGGGCTGCACTGTGGGAAGGGGAGCTGGGAGTAGTGGTGGAGCAGAGAGGCGCATCTGGCCAAGGTGGGATGGAGTGGGAAGAGAGCACCAGAGGGGCATATCTGGCCAAGGAGATCACCTGGGGAGAGTGGAGGGGGGAACATCAGGCTCTAAAGAGGCAGGGGGGACCAGTAAGACGTTTTTGACCTGGGTGGGGAGGGAGATACGTGGGTAGGAGAGGGGACGCATTTGGATTTGAAGGGGCCATGGTGGTGGTGGGGGGCACAGGGGGGAAGTGCATCTGGCCCCAGAGGAGCTATGTGGGGAGGATTGGGCATATCTGGCCGTAGAGTGGGCACGTGGGAGGGGGAGCCAGGAGTGCATTTGGTCATGAAGGGGACATCTGGGGGGTGACATTGGGGAGCGGTGCTTGTGGCCACGGAGAGGACACGTGTGTGGGGGGGACCAGAGGGCACATCTGGCCACAGAGTGGAGGGGGAACTAGAGGAGAACATCTGGCCACAGGGAGGGCGAGAGGGGATGGGGGGCGGGGCGCGCCTGTCCACTTAGAGGGCATGGGGGGGTGGGGGAAGCAGAGGGGCGCATCTGGCCCCGGGGAGGCGAGCGGGGGACAGGGGGCGCATCCGTACAAGGAGAGGGCACGGGGAAGGGGGGAAGCGAAGAGCCCCATCTGGCTGGGCTCCTGCTCCGGGGGCGCGGCCCGGGAGGGCCGCGGAGGAGGAACGCTCACCTCCACCACGGGCATCTCCTCTTCAGACTCGGAGGATTCCTCCTCAGCCTCCACGTTGTCCTCCTCCTCGGCTTCCTCGTCTTCGTCGAAGCCTAAACCCAGCGAAGGATCATTGTGGAAGAGCTGCTGGAGGAAGAAGGAGACACTGGAGAAGCCGCTTGGCAGCTTCTGCCCCAAAGGGAACGTGTTAGTCATCGAAGAGCGATTATATCTCAGCTCGGGGGACGACATGACTCCGGCTGGCGAGAAAGACACCCCAAGGGAGCCCCAGAGATGGAGAAACGTGTCACCGGGATACAGTCCCGGAGGCGGCCATCTTGTTTGGTACCGGTTGCCTTGGAGACCGCAGTGAGCGGGGAAAGCCGCAAGGGATTGTGGGGGTTGTAGTTTCAGTTTCCTCGATCAGCTCTTCTCCCATCCTCCCCTTTCCCTGTCTTTCCATCATTTTTTGCTTCTTTCTCTGTCTCATTAGATCTTTCTCTCTGTTTTGTATCAGTGCTTGTGTCTTTGTTTCTTAGTTTCTTCATCTTTCTCTTAGTTTCTATCATGGTGTTCTAATTTCTGTGTCTTTGTCTTTTTCTGTTTGTCTGTCTCTCTGTCCACTTCCTTAGCTCCTTAACTCTATAGTGCAGTGAAAAGAACACTAATTTTAGAATCGAGGGTTCTGGATGTAAGTCTCAAAACCTGGCTCCCATACTTACAGCCAGTGAGATTCTAGGCAAATCCCTTAACCTGTCTGAACCTGTTTCCTGGTCTTTCAAATGGAAGTAATGATACTCACACTACCAATCTCACAGAGGTGTTTTGAGGAGAGTACTTTGTACACCTTAAAGTGACATAAAATTTAAGTTACTATCATTTCTTTCCACCATTCTGTGTCTTTTCTATCTCTGTTTTTGTTTTCTCTCTGTTTTTCTCCTCCCACTAACTTTCCTCCCTACCTTTCTTCCCCTTTTATTATCTTCCCCTTTCTTCAACTATTTTGCCTATCTCTGAGACTAGTACTTAGGGATACTCTTCTCAACCCTCAGTCCCATTAAAGGCCCAACCTAGTATGGTGTAGTGGAAGAGTCCTGGATTTAGGCAGAAGCCTTGGTTTAAAATCCTGGTCCAATTATTTTCTACCTGTGTGACCTTGGGTAAATCAATTCAACCTCAATTTCTTCATCCTGTAAAATGAGGAAATTTAGTTGGATTAAATTATTTCTAAGATCCTTCCCAGCTCTAAATTCTATGATCATTCTGTCCTATAATGTCAGTATGTATTAAAGAAATAAAGGGAAAGTTCCAGCTGTTACAATCAAGTTAGGGATAATTAAAAATAGTATGATGTTACCCTCAACTTCTCACATATTCACCCCAAAATCTTTTAAAAAGTTTTTGTTCTCAATTACGCATAAAAACAATTTTTAACATTTGTTTTTTTTTAATTTTTGAGTTCCAAATCTTTCCCTCCCCTCCATCCTTCCTCTCTCCTTGAGAAGGAAAGCAATTTGCTATAGATTAGACACCCACATATACACTCTCTTGTCAGATCTTACCAATTCTATCTTCAAAGCCTCTCCCCTGTTAGTCTCTTCTTCGTTCACACAGATTTTACTCTGGTGCAAGTACATATCACCTTGATGGAATCCTAATAAAGCTGGCCCCCCAGCCCCAATATTCTAACTTCCTTATGGGTCTCACTGAACAGCAGGCACGCCCTGATTTGACCATACAATCAGGCTTTAACCACATCACAGGCCCCCGGACTCAATATAACCACTGCCTCTAGCTAGCCACTGCCCCTAGGTAGCCATTGCTCTCAGAATCAATCCTCTAGCTAGCCTGTACCCCCAGATCCAATTCCCATATTTGAACAGGTTCGGCCTTGTACTCAACTACAATCACATCATCCATTTAGCCCAAGATAGGACCACGATACCTACCTATCCATCTTGACCGAGCAGGACCACAATAACTAACGAATCAGAAAGCAGCATGACCAGGATGTTTGACCACCAAACCATAGAAGGGATCCTTCCCCATTACCTAATCCCTTAACAAACCCCTCCCGCCTTTATAATATTCATAATTTCTCTTATGTAATCACATCATTACACTATAAATTTGCCTATGTAGTCTTACTAAGTTGCTGGTTCCTCTTGGAACCTAGCCTGTTTCTGAGGGGTGTCAATCCTCAATAAATTCCTATACTTGGATTAGAGGTGGTCTGACTCTGAATTCTTTGAGAGGACCGCCCACAACACACCATGAAATCACAACAGTTTTTGGCGTCCCTGGGTGGGCAGAGTCTCTGACTTGGCTTGCTCAGAATTTGTAAGTTTATGTATAATATAGAAATTATTTCTAATGATTTATCTTTACACCAGGATAAATTTAAACTTGAAAAGGGAAGAAAAGTGAAAGATGTTAAGTGAAACTTCTTATGTATGTAAATCATAGTAAATTTTTATTGCTTATTGCAACTCCATAAGAATAAAAACAATTGTATCTAGCCCTAAGGTAAGAAGACTGGATTGGTACCACTAGGAAGGGCAAATACTAGAGGATTTTATTTTTGATCTTCGAAATAATAATAGGGAAACATTTAAATTTGCTGATTCAAGATGAGATATGGGCAGACTTGTGCTTTAGGAAAATCACTTTGGCAGCTGAATAAAGGATGGATTGGAGTAAAGAAAGGCTTGAGGGTGCTAGACCTATTAGAAGGCTATTGAAACAGTCCAGGCATGAGATTGCTGTGGTTTCACGGTGTCATGTCAAAGAATTCGGAGTCAGACCAACTTTAATCCAGGTATGCTTCTCTATTATTATTTCTAAGATCAAAAATAAAATCCTCTAGTATTAATCCTTCTTAATGGTACCAATCCAGTCTTCTTACACTTTACTGTCTTCTATGTAATCTACTATCTAGCCATACTGTCCTTCCTGTTCTTCTTACAAAATGCTTAATGTCCCTTACACTATGACTTTGCACTGGCTGTCTTCCATGCCCAAATCCACTCCCTCTTCTCATCTGTCTTGTGGCCTCCCTGCCTTCCTTTAAGATTCAGCTCATATACTTTTCCAAGGTACAGTTAGTGTCCTCTCTCTGAAATTACTTTTCATTCTCTGTCTCTCTTAGTCTCTCTGTCTCTGCCTCTCTCTCTGACTCCCTTCTCTCTCTCTCTCTCTCCCCTTTCTCTCTCTCTCTCACTCTAGATAGATGATAGATATCCAATAGGTACATAGTTATTAACGTCATCTTCCCCATTAGAATATGGTCTTCATAAGGGTAAGAACAGTATTTTTTTTTCTTTATTTGTATAACAGAGGTCTGGCCGATGGCCCTTGTCCTTCTAAGCCTGTGGAGAATGCATCAGCAAGCAATTTCCCATCTGGAAGAGCTAGGAAACCTATTTCTAGGAGAACTGTGATGATGTTTAATAGACATGTCTTGGAGAGACTATGAATCACATGTAGATATTCCGTAACTGGTTCCAGCCTGCTAACCACATAGTGGCTGTATTTGTGGAAGTGGAACTGGGGGTAGCTTTGAAAGGCTTTTGTCCACCTTGGCCTTTTCTCTCTCTCTCTCTTGCTTGGACATCTGCTCTTGGTTTGACTTTATCACTGATGGTAGCAGCAAAAATGTCAAGAAGCAGAAAAAAAAGAAGAGGCACAGAGCCCTTTCCCTTTGAGGTTGGCATGTGGCCTCCTAAATACCAGCCTCCATTCTTTGCCATGTTGTTTGTTCTTCTGTTTTAGGTAAAAGATTTTAATCTGGAGGGTATAACTTTGTAAGTTTAAAAATTTTAAAGGTCAGGAAGACAAGTGGTCTGGGTGTCAACCAGCCCAGAATCAGTGCTTTGAGGAATGAAGTGACTGTGAGATGCTGGTACCCAAGACATCCTGGCCAGCAGCCTCCTCACTTTGGAGGGTGTCTCCACACCTGTATCTGTCTCCTCTAACTGATGAGTTCCTGCTTGGAAAGATGGGATCATTTCCATGCAAAACAGTCTGCTGGGGAAAAGCTCATCATTCATCATATTTGAGGAGAGCACATCAAGCTACAAGTGTATCAAGTTACACACTCAGGAATTATAAATCAGAAGAAAAATTTGTTCACATCAATTACAAACTTTGATGGAGAGACATCATTGAGTTTCAGGGGAAACCTGGGAAGATCAAGAATGGAAAAATCCACATTGTTCCCCATGAAAGTACACTATTGTCTCCATTTCTGCGTATGTTGGTTCACCTTCACTTCAATCTCAAAGAAAAGGAAACATAGTATTGTCAGAAATACCCAGACTTTATCCTGAGTGACTTTGTGAGGCAGAAGTTTATCACCTGCTCCATGATAATCACATATATAAGAAGACTCCTACATAAATTGGTATTCCTGGAGATTGAAAACTCCTATGATGAAATTCATCCCAGGTTTATCTGTTGCCAAGAAGGGTCCATGCCATCCATACTCACTTCTCTCCCAACTCCTCTCCAGAATTTTCCAAATCCTTCCTTAATAAGCTTGCTCTGCACTTCCACTTTCCAAGCAAAAAGCAGTCCTGCTGTCAAGAAGCTCACAACCTAATGAGGGAGATAATATACAAATAACTATATGTGGGATAAATTGGAGATAATATCAGAGGGGAAGCAGTAAGCCTGGGAAAGCCTTCTTTGCAGAAAGTGGGACTTTGGCTGAGACTTGAAAGAAACAAGGGAATCTAGGATGCATGGTTGTGTGGAGGGAAAGAGTTCGAGGCTTGGAGGACAGAGTGAAAATAGTCAGTAAAGAGACTGAATGTCTTGTCTGAGAAACATCAAGGAAGCCAGAATCACTGGATAAGGTATAAGAAGACTAGAAAGGTAGGAAGGAGCCAGGTTTTGACAGGCTTCAAATGCTAAACAGAGGGCTTTATATTTGATTCTGGAGTTAATAGGGAGCCCCTGGAATTTATTGAATGGTGGGGGTGACATTGTCAGATCTGAGCTTTAGGTCTGACAATTTGATGGTTGAGCTGAATGGAGGATAGATTGAAGTGGGAAGACTTGAGAAAGGTAGACCAAGCAGCAGGCTATTGCAGTAGTTCAGGCTTGAGGCGATGAGGGCCTACACCAGGATGGTAGCAGAGTCAGAGGAGAGAAGGGGGGATGATTTGAGAGGTTTTATTAAGAAACAACAGGATTTGACAATTGATTGGATATGAGAATGGTACTAAGGGTGAGGAGTCAAGGATGACAGGTTGTGAGCCTGG